TGTATGTATGTATGTGAAGTAAATACATATGCACAACTTAATTCTATTGGGTGTGCTGCTGGTCACTCAACTGTTGCCATATCTTGAAAGAAAAACAAAAAATAACAAAAAACTGAAACTGAAAAGCGATGCTGACCTTCACATAGTTAATGTAACCGTGCGCTGGTGCCAATGGCGGCAAATGCTTAGCTGCAGCTCTTGCAGCATGTTAAATAAATATGTAGTTATATACATACATGTATATGTAGATATATAAGCAGATATAGCTAAAATATGCTCATATGCTTGCTAACATTTATTTGCAGTTTCTATTGCTGGCCCGAATCATTTCACATATCTTCATTGGCGTCATATTCGGTTACCTCTACATGAATGTGGGCAGCAACGCCAGCTCAGTGCTGGGCAACTACGTTTACCTATATGGCTCCACGCTGCTTTTGGTCTACACCGGTAAAATGGCAGTGGTATTGACCTGTGAGTATGCAAAAATCTAGTAGAAATAATACACAAATCATCTATGTATAATATATAATGAAATTGCCACAAGAAAAAACAATACAAAGGCCTTTGTCTCTTTAGAAGATGGATAGAATTGATATTAGAGTCTTTCATGCTTGTCAACAGAGAAAGAGTTTTACTTTCAGCTCTATGCTGATTGATGGGATCGACCCGATCATACTATAAAAATGTTAACATGATACATGACAACCTAAATAGCTCTATAAGATTTTCATGTTGTGAGTGTAAAGAGACTTGCCTTACTTCTATGTTATATAGTTAGATAAACTATGTCAATTTATTGTATTTGCTGTCATATTTATTTAAATATATATTTATATGAGCTCTAAAACTTTGATTTTCTATTTTCCAGTACCAGTATATAATATATATCAAATATCTTTCCTGATTTATTATACTTCACTAAATCATATTTATTAAATGAATATTTATTAGTTTACTAATAAGTCTAATTTCAAGGAGAATACTCTAGATAGACTAGAATTCATAACCCGATTTGAATATATACGAAAGTATATATTATTTATATATTTATTTTGTCGCACCATTTGTAAAACTGGATACATTTTATATATTGATTTCGGTTCAGTGACCTGGCCTACAAACACGTAATCGCATTGACGCATGCAGCCTACATTCAGTGCCAGAGAATTTCTCGTTTTTGTAACTGCCTAAATGAAAATAGAATTTAAAAATAACCAAGAATTGTAATTTCATCTTCTTGCAGTACCGCTGGAGATTAATATGCTGACCAGGGAACACTTTAATCGCTGGTACAAGCTGGGACCCTACTTTTTGTCGCTGGTTTCTTTTGAAATACCTTTTCAGGTAAGTTGTTCGTTCGAATCTGACATTTTAATTACAGTTAAATGCTATAATAATCAAGAATTTATAAATGGGAAACACAATATTTATGCGATATTTTTATTATGTATATTGTTTAATTGTAATTTTAATTTATTTCGAAATTTCAATCTTCTAGAGTCTCTGCACCGCTTTGTACATTGTAATCAGTGTACGGCTAACGGATAACGATAGCGTGGACTCGTTCCGGATTCACTACTTTATGTTACTAGCCATTATGGCGAGCCTCAGTGCACAGGCTTGGGGTTTCTTTGTGGGTGCCACGCTGCCAACAAAGGTAAATTATATTGAATATTCTTTTGTAATCAAATAATTTTGAATGAAACATGAATTTTGCATCACAGCTTGCCGTCTTCTTGGGTCCAATATTGGCGGTGCTGTTCTCCGTTTTTGGTTTCTGTACGCGTTACATAGATATAACGCCCATGTTCCGTTGGATGTGGCATTTGAGCTATTTCCGTGCCGGTTTCCATGGCGCTTTGAATGCGATTTATGGTATGGATCGCCCGTTTCTCGAATGCCCCGAGAATGTTATGTATTGTCATTTTCGTAGTCCCAAAGTGTTTCTCAAGTACATGATGATCTCCGATGTGCATATGTCCGATTGCATTATGCTAATGGGCATTGTAATTGGTGTAATGCATCTATTAACCATAATCACCCTGTGGCGTAAACTGAACAAACGATAGGAAATTTGTTAGCAACTAAGTTAGAGTCTTAATTAGTTTTGTATATTTTTTACGTTCACATAGCTGGTGTCTATTGTTTGTGTTTTTATTATATACCACTTTTTCCTTGATTTAAATTTGTTCGTTTTGCTCTAAAAAAAATATTTTAATTAATATGTGTATAACTTAATTATTTATTTATATTAAGATAAAAAAGAACATTCATTTATGTTTTGTTTTTGTGTATGTTGAATCAAAGACAATATTATTATAATATTAATTATTTATGTCATTTGGCTAACATGTACTCAAAGGCTTTAGGGTAGTGGATTTTACATTTCCAGCATAGCAATTAATTTTTATAAATATATTTTATAAGTGCTGATATACCAAAAACATGAAACGAACAAATTACAAATTCTAAATTCAATGTAATTCAACGAAAGAAAAAATTCCAGTTAAGGTTAATATGATATACAATCTTGCCTTTTATACAATTTTTCAATTTCACATATCAAATAAAATAAAATCACCTACATGTCTTATCATCTTGTAATAAACATGTTGTTTTTCATGTCAGTTTGTCACTTTTCAGCATGTTCAATTCAATCCGTGAACTTTTAATTCACAGAAGGCAACGTCTTAAAATCCGTAAACTCATATAATATATATAATATTAAAATCGGCTTCTATATGCATTTTTGACCTGCATAATTTTGTACTTATTAGCAAAACAAATTATATTTTATGCAGACCGCAATAGCATGACAACTTTTCTATTTTTCCAGTGCCCTGTAAACTACATATAATAATATAAGGTTCACATCTTAGGCTAGAATACATTACATGTATTTTAAAATTTCGATATGCAGCTCTGAGTCAGTCCCAAAAAATATATTTACATAATTTAAATCACTTTATTTTTATGTACTCTTAATAACCTAAGGCGATTTTTTTATTTAATGCAAAATGTAAATGCTGAAAACAATAAGTTAAATACATTAATGGTGGAAAGGCGTTTTGAAGAATACAGCGACAAAAATTCACATGGTGGACATTCGCGCATATCCATATCTTATGATCTGGTCATGGTTTAGAGGCACATCTGTGGTCAGCTGGACGCGTTGCCATTGACGTGTTTCATTCGATTTGCGTATAGCCTCGACGACAGCTTGCACATAGAGGCCATCTTCGAAGGTGGCTGCGGTGGAGACAGGCGCCTTTATCCAGCTGGACTCTTTGCTGTTGAAGGCTTCCTTGAGAGCGCCTACCATTTTACATAGTCCTTTGATATAGGGCCGCGGCAGCAACGAATTGTTTGTGGAAACATGCAAATCCTGAACATCTACATAGACTGCTTCCTCCTTTTGCTGAGACTCCTTAAGTACGAACAGATCACCGCCGCGTACCACCAGATGACCCTTGCTGCCATAGACGAGCACCTCTTGGGAAAAGCTCTTTGTCGGCACTGTGTGGCTATGTAGGGCCACCGTGACGAGCGTGCCACTCGCCAACTCCATTTGAAAGTTACAGAAGTCTGGCGCTGTTATTTGGCGTATGCCATTGATGGATGGCGTTGTTTTAGTGTAGGCTCTCAGGACGCCGTGCACACGAATCGCCTGCTGTTGCGACAGAAAGTGAACGAGATCCACGACACTGCCAACCAGATTCAATGCACCACCGCCCATCTGAGCATCGCACATCCAGTTGTACTTTTCAGGGAACAGTGTGCCCATTTGTACACGCACATCCATCAGTACCACCTCACCCAGCGATCCGATAAGTCCATCCTGTAGACAACGTCGCATTTGCGTAAAGGCAGGCAGAAACCGAAGTGGATGATTCACCAGAGAGATGAGTGTCGGGTAATACTGAGCTGCACGAACCATTTTCATAGAGTCTGTCTGATGAAGGCCAGCGGGTTTATCACACACGACATGCTTTCCAATGCCCAGTGCCTTCACTGAGATCTCAGCGTGCAGAAACGGCTGACACACTATGAATACCAAATCGACGTCTTTGCGCAGGAGAACTTCATCTATGACGTTTGTGTAGAATGCGACGTTCTGTGCGTTGGCCGTCTCCTTGGCCTCTCTTAGTGTGCGTCCCCATATCGCCTTAACTTCGAAACCCTTCTCTCGAAGTAGTGGCACAAGGACATTGGCGATTTCACCTGTTCCGAATACGCCAACGCCAGGAAGCATTTTATTTTTATGTTTATATGAAATTTTCCCAGTGTGACCAGTTTGTATATTGACAAGTTAAATAAACATTTACGAAAAATACCACCATACCAAGTAAATAGCCTAAAAATAACCAACAGCTGCAGTGATAAGGCGCAACTAGTGATCAAAATGCTTATAGGATAAAAATACAAAGAATTGAAATATAAATTCTTAATCTGCATAAGCAAAATATATATCATATTAATTTGGTAATTACGGCAAAACAAAAAAAAATTGAATATTATGTGCTAAACACCTATACAAAAGAAACTATATTTCAAATTATGCTTCATGTTGTCAGACTGCTTAACTGCCAGAATTGAATTGCTTCTTGTTTCGTCTGCGCAGCCCAGCCACACCTTTATGTTCTGTAGGCGACCAGATTGTGTAGCTATTTGCTAGGGAACATACATGAAAACGGTTAGTGATGGAAAATATTTGAATGTATGCGCGAAGAATATCGTTGATTTGAAAAATTATGGTTGAAGAGTCTGACAGCACAATGAACGTATAAAAGAAAAAATCAGACTCCCAAGTTTTATACTTTATTGAAGATTTTCGATTAACTTGTTGTATATACGTTTGATTTTTAAAGATAGTAGGTTTACAATTGAATATGCTATTCCGTTATTAGAGACAACACTTTATTTAGAGCCTATCGCATATTGGCTTACGATATATTAGTATATCGATATCACTGGGCATCACTAATACAAGCTCTTTGTTCCCATCACTTGATATTAAATAAAACTAACAAACTGTTGTATGCAATTTGCATTGTTTGGGTTTAATAGACTAAAGTCAGTTTAATTAATATATGAATTTATTTATAATTTGAAAACATAATATATAACCGACTGACTAATTGAATATCCGTATCCAAAATGTTTTGATTCTATTAATATGAAAATTCAATATAAACACGCGTAAGGCAAGTGAAACGAAAATGAGAGCGGGGTCGAAAGTCAAATGAAACAGCTTCATCTCAAGTAAGTTTCCATAAGCCACACTTGTTTTATATGTTTTGTAAACATAACGTTTTGTGTATTTTATAGAGAAGCTGCGTACTATATGCACCCAAAGCATAATAAGTAATAACGGAAACTAACAATGGCGCAACATGCTCCACTGAGGATTTTTTATTTGAAGAGAATTAATCTATTTGCTTGAGCTGCCGCCACATTCTTCCCACTCTTAAATCAATAAACAACACGCCTATCCCAACCACAACATCAGTCTGCGAATACTCCTCTCAGACATTCTGACTAAAAGGAAGACACACGGAAAGCAGGTAGCTGATGACAATGGCCGTCAATACCTGTTTTAGCTGCACTAAATCCACAGTGCACACGAGTTGATTTTTACCTGTTGCTAATGACAAAAGGAAGGCCTGAAGATGGACAAAGACACCAAAACGTCAAACGCTTCAATGTTGCGGCTGGATAACGATTCGATTCAGTCGACGATGGCTTTGAGCAGAAAAGACAGTTCAAGCGAACAGATCTTAACAGCATTGAAGCATTCACTCATGGACTGTACAAGAAATGAAGATCCTAAATCCCAACTGCTGTTTGTGTCATCTAATATATTGCCTCCCAGCACAGCCTCAAGGCCAAGCACTGGTTCACTGGCAAGCACACCAAAGAACTCAGGATTCTCAAGGTCGCGCCTTCACAATGGTTTCCATCAATCCATGCCATCTGTGCATGGCCGGTCGCATCAGAATTTAGTCTTACCCTCAGCTGAGCTAGCCGAAAACCAAACAATCAATAGATCTCCAAAACGATTGCCGAAACATCAAAGGAATTTCAGCTTGGATTCGAGGTAAGTTGAGTTTTTACAAATTAAGCGACTGCTAGAAACGTTTTAAAATGCTTGTATTAACTGAATTCTAGTAAGTAGTACTATTTTTGTTAGCTGTTAACATGACAGGTTAGACTAACAAATGAATAGTTTTGTGCTAACAGCAATTGTTTATCAGAGGAATTACTGTTGGCGTATCTATTTATTCGTGCACTTGTTGCTCTCGCTTTTGCACGTTCGCTTTGTGATTTACAATCCAAATATTGATAACTTTCTATATTTAATATCGTTTATTGACATACGAATGAAAATGAACGAATATGTTGTCTTGATATATATTTTTGGTTACACTTATTAGTTCAGTAGCTCACACACTTTTCCCTCTTATTGTTTGTATGCTAAGAGTCATTCGGATATATGACGAAATTCTATTGATTTTTCTTTAAATAAATAATGCTTATTCTAACATACTTTGCTCATTTTTAGATCAATGGGCATATTGCAGTCGCCAGTTTCTTCTTCGGTGAGCAGCACACGGGTTAACCAAACGCAACATCATCGCAATCGCAGTCTCGACAGCTTCCTGCAACGCATACCGGAGGTGAGTTTGTTTGTTTTCTATTTGGAATGCAGAAAATGGTCTTTCATTTATATACAAAATATTTGTTCTTGTTAATGCTTTCTACGTTTCCAACTTATTTAGAGGGGAGGAATATTGGCTAGATGTAGTTTTCAAATTATATATTTTCAATATTACAATTAGTAAGTTTTTTTTAAACATTTTTATAAGAAAATTAAATTTTTCAAAAGTTTTCTTTTTTCACAAAAGTTTTTTTTTTTTTTTTAATTTGTTTGTATTGAAACATCATCGGCATATTTGGAATAAAATGACATTCTCAGAGAACCTGTAAATAAATCCTCTCTCTCTCTCTCTCTCTCTAGGAGCATGTAAGTATTTCTCTTTGAAAAGGGTATTCGATTTTCGGCGAGCTGAAATCAAAAGTTTCTGCTTGTTTTTATCGCTGTTCGTTTTGCGCACATTTTGCATACTTAGCTGTTTGTGTACTCTTCTGGTTATCAACAACTACACTAAATTTCAGTCGTGTCAACGAAGAGATAGAGAAAAGTGAAGTTAAAGAGAGGTAAAGCTTGATATGCTCCGTTACTGCAGCTTTGAGTTTTAAGAGCGATTGCAGTATAATGAGAGAGTGAGAGAACAGGTTTTTTGTACCGAACTGTGGGATCTGCCGAAGAAAATAAATACAGATACAAAAGAAGCTTTTGCTGCCAAGCTAATGTTTAATAAATTTTTCAATAATTATAGGTCGAGAGCTCATCTCCCAATGCCGAATGTGAGATTACATTTAGTTCAATTTCAACAAAATTCGATAGCAAAATCTGCCCAAAAATGGAAGCTGCTAAAGCTAATGGTGCAGCCGCAATTGCCATATCTCTGCCAAATGCAGCTCAAGTGATTGGAGGAGTTTCCAGTGCTCCGATAGAGACAGATTCGATCACATCTGCAGTGTCAGTACACTCACAGAGGGCCACGGGAATTATGGGTAAGTAATTGTTCTTAGATGATCTCAAATTGATCTTTAATATATTTATGTCATATTGTAGTTGATTCTGGGCCCACTGAATCGAAGAACTCAACATCGTGTCCCCGGGAGACTATCTATGTATGCAGCAGCACAGGCAACAACAAAAAGCGTGAAGATTTGACGAGTCTTGGATCGGATGATTCCGGTAGGGAACTGATTCGAAATTAATTTCAAATTTAGTTCATGGACAATTTTGTCATATATGAAACCATTTCCTTATAACAATATAATATAATAATGGACAATATGTAAGCTTATTAACTGATACACACTCTTTGCTCTCATTATTCGTTTCTCAGGCATTTTATGTGGCTCAGAGTCAGACCAATTATCGGTAAATCGCATATGCCACTCTCATGAGTCGCTCGATCTGGGCGCAATGGATGTCAATGTGAATGCAGATGGCGATGTCGAAGCAGAGCAAACAACAACGCCCATTGATGCTGATCGTAAGAGAATAGAATCGGATCTTTGTTTCTTGTCTTCTACAAAAGTTGACGAAATCGACTGCCGAACGCTGCAACCCACGCCTGAGTCGCAGCCGATCAAAGCAGATGATCAAACGCGTTATCGCGTAATGAATATGTGTCAGGCGGCCATTAACTTGGAGCTCGGTACGGCACCTAATGAGATAGAGCCGGTGATGGATGTGAACGATGAGGATGTCATACCCACTTTGCCCACATCACAAACTGTGTCCAATAATACACCACCTGCCGTTACGCCATCAAAAACAGTTGAAGCACACACACCCTCTGAGAGCAGTAAAAATGAGCAGGTGTTGTTTAAGTGTTTTTTCGGTGCTACTAAGAATGCTATTTTCCGCACGGCCCAAAGCATCATTGAGAACCATGAAAAGAAAAATGCAATCAAGCAGAAAACGAGCGAACCTCTGGAATCGTCCTCATCTGCAATCTGCACCCCATCAAGTAGTGGAGGTCAAATGTCGTCAGATCTGGTCAAGTCGCCCACAGAGGTTTCCAAAAGGAAAGAGTTTTTCAGCTTACTAAGCTCCAATTCCAGCAAAAAAGTAGCTGTGGCAGCTGTCAACCCTACCCCAATCGAACTGACAACAGAGGTAGCGAAAACCAATTTGTCTTCTAAGGGCGTGCAGATGAAGAGACCTGTGCTTACAGACCCTCAAGCAGCAGCGAAAAATGAGAAGACGGCGAGTTCATCGAAAAGCTCGCTGCAGCAAGTGAAGGTTCCTGTGCCAGGTGTAGTGAAATATATTAACGATCAGCCACCCGCCGTCGATGCGCCGCAGCAAAGCTACGAACGAGGTCCGAGCGGCTTGTTGCGCTTTTTTGAATCTCCTGTTTTCAATATTCACTTCGCCGTGCATTACTTGTTCTACTCAAAGGAACCAGGTGTTCTGAGCTTCATTGGCAACAAGATCTTCAGCTTTTCTGACCAGGAGGTGGACCTATATATACCACAGTTGATCGTGATGTACATTGAAATGGATGAGCTTGCTGAAGTGCTTGATCCCTATCTCACAACTCGGTGCCGAAAGTCTGTTGATTTTTCGCTTAAGTGCCTGTGGCTTTTGGAGGCATACAATCATCAGGTTGACTCGTTGGGTAGCTGCAATAAAGGGCGCAAATCCAAGCTGTCTCTCATGAAGGAAATTTTCACCAAGAAGGAGAGCAAGCCCCAAGTCAAATCACAGCAAAGCCCGTCTGTTTCCTTGGTCAAGAAAACGCATTATCGCTCGCAGTCAGATGCCACAGTGCTCTTAGTCGATTCTAACAACCTACATTCAAACAACATGGCGCATCGAATATCCACAGCACCCGCAAAGTTATGCTTGGGCGATCTCAGCTCGGGTCGTGCCTTCGACAATGGCTGCACATGTTTTCAAACTGTGCGTGGACAGGTTAATGGCTTACTGGGTCATCGCACCTTTTGCAATTGCGGCGCACCAAAGACTTCGCCGCAAAAGGAGTTCATGAAGGCGCTAATCAATGCGGGCAAGAATTTAACGTCCTTGTCCTCGAAGGCAGAGAAGACATCAGCGCTGCGTATGTTTCTCAATTTGATTAACAAAAATCTGCCAGCTCGTGTCTGGCTGCCGCTCTACTCGGATATTCCGCATCATGTGGTGCGCATCACAGAGGAAAAGACTGCTGTATTAAATTCGAAGGATAAAACCCCGTACATCATATACGTAGAAGTAGTCGAAGTAGACGACATCTACACCTCGCCGCTCATTCAAAAGATGATGCCGTCGCTGCGGCATACCAAGAGTGAGGAGCACTTGGAGGGCGTTTGTCTGAACTCCCAACACCACTGCAACAGCGACAGTCATCAGGGCTCCAGTTGCCGACGCAAAAAGGGCACCGAATCGTCGTCATCAAACACAGACAGCGGTTGTGGGGAGCCAGCAGTCCACAGTTGTTGCTGTAGTGGGAACCCGAGCAATCAGCTGTCACTGGGTGGACTACAACTGAATTCAGATGATGCCTGGTCCCAGGAAGATGATGACATCACGGCGCCATACTTGAACATGCGTAAAATCAGCGAACGTGACTCAATTTCGCAGATGTCGTTAGATTCGTGCGACTCGAGGGACCAAGGTAAATTCTTCAATCTAAAAATTTGGGTCAAGCAGAAAATAACTTTCAACTTATAGGTCCGCCAGTTGTGTTTAACATTGGTGATGTTCGCACTCGGCACTGTAAAAATTTGAGTTGCGAGAACACGAAGCCGTTCAGCAATGATCCCGAGGATCCATCTGCAGCTGCCCTGAAGGTTAGCTCACAATCCAAACTCTTAAAGTAGTTGTAATCTGTAATCTGATTGATTTCTAGGAGCCCTGGCATGAGAAGGAGAAGCTCATACGCGAGTCCTCGCCCTATGGCCATTTATCAAATTGGCGTCTTTTATCCGCCATCGTGAAGTGTGGCGATGACTTGCGGCAAGAACTGATGGCTACTCAGCTATTGCAGGTCACTATTAAATTTATGCACTAGCTTCGAACGACTTACTACTTATGAACCACTTTATAGATGTTTAAAATCATTTGGCTGGAGGAAAACGTGGATCTGTGGGTGCGGCCGTATAAAATAATATGTCTATCGAATGACAGTGGTTTGATTGAGCCCATTTTGAACACGGTTTCATTGCATCAAATCAAAAAGAACTCAAACAAATCATTGCGGGATTATTTTATTGGCGAATATGGAGCAGCAACAGGCGAAAGATTTTGTCAAGCCCAAAAGAATTTTGTTCAAAGTTGTGCGGCATATTGTCTGATATCTTATCTGCTGCAGGTTAAGGATAGGTAAGATAAATGATATTTTTGTGAAAGATTACCCAAATGACTCCTCTGTTTTCTATTCACAGACATAATGGTAACATACTCTTACATTCTGATGGCCATATAATACACATAGACTTCGGTTTTATTCTCAGCATATCCCCCAAGAACTTGGGTAATTATTTAAATTTGAAATATCTGTAGAGTAAAAACTAAGTTCTTAATATTTATTTAATATCAGGTTTTGAGCAGTCGCCTTTTAAGCTTACGCATGAATTTGTGGATGTAATGGGCGGCACAGACTCCGAGCATTGGCGAGAGTTCAATCGCTTGCTGCTCGTAGGCATGATGTCTGTGCGCAAGCACATGGATCGTATCATAAACTTGGTGGAAATCATGCGAAGCAGTAAGTAAATAGAGCTCCATAGAAACAACAAATTATATTGTGTTCTTGTAGATGCGCATTTGCCCTGCTTTAAGAACGGCTGCTCCGGTACCGTACAGAATCTCCGCAAACGCTTTCATATGAACTTAACTGAGCAGGAAATGGAACGCAAGGTGGAGCAGCTTGTGCAGGACTCGCTGAAAAGTCTCTCAACTAAACTGTATGATGGATATCAATATTATACGAATGGCATATTGTGAAAATGGTTTCTGTAACCGGATTGGATTGATCAGGAATATGCTAATATGATACACCAAACCTATGGACTGTTAAAAACAAATATTTTAATTTTATATGTACACATTTGAATGAATATTTATATATATATATATATATATACAAATTAATAATCTATATTAATTTATATATAAATACATTTGCATTCAGAGTATATGAGCAAAAAGAATGCCAAAAATTAATATTGCACCTATTATCACCTGTTATTTAATCCAGACTCGTTAAATATCCATATTGGCACTGTTATTATAACTAATTAATAATATGATAATATCTTAGAGTAGTCAATGTTGTCTAACTTATAAGCAAAAGTGTAAATGTATTTGACTCCTATCTCTTTGTCGTGTCTTCTGTCGATCCTATATTGCATCTGGCCATCCAAATAATCAACGATAAGTAAATATATTTAGGATCATCAATCTGTAATTATTAAATTTGCTAAAGCGCTATGCATATTAATTTTTTAAGAAACTATAAACTATTTTTTAATTGTTCACTCAACAATTTACTAACTACATTCGATAAATTTACTGAAAATTCTTGTTAAAATGAATTCTAAAATTTGAAAATAATAGCTTTTGTATTTTACTTATAGTAAAACTATCAAGGGTGCCGCATATATAAATCTCTGTTTGCTTTCGAATTTATATAATCGAAACAATGTTTTTTACAATTACTGGCATTAGTCTGCCAAAAACTTAAAGAAGAGAGAAGTATTTGAAGCTTACATTGAAAATTTGTTGTATGTTGAACCAATAATATTGTATAGCTTTTGTGCATAACGTAAATATAAGCATTATGTATATGAATACTATATATACACATGTTTATATCATATAAGAAAGCTTTAATAAACTCAATAATTAACGAAAATATTTTAGGTGCTATAAATGAATTGAATTGGGGTTTAGCTAAATTTTACTGTAATGTATCATATTAGTTCATGGCCGACTCGTTGCTAACTACACACAGGGTAGGTATTGTGTCTTGGTGAAAGCATAACAACGTTTACATAGAAACCAAATATTGATACGGAAAATAATTGTGTGTAGATAATTTAGATTTTGTCTAATTTTTTATTATAATAACTGCCTTTAATATAACGAACCAAATAGTGCACATTTCATATTCAACTGAAAATGGATCCTACTAAACTAGTTGGAAGAGTGTATGATTTAAATATATAAATTAAAACTTACATAACTCTAACTCTAATAATCAAAGAATTTTCCTATATTTTGTAGCAAAGAATCTGTACGCTTAGAGCACAAGGCGCGTAGAAACTTTCCACTGATCTGGAATGGAATTACATCCCGTTCAAATAATAAGTTTTATCACCCAGATGAACTGGATAAGATGCTAATGGAGAAGCTTCAACTACCAGGTTGGTCTTCTTTATTTCTAACATAAATTATAATTATTAATAAATTTATTTTATAGAACCCGATAACAAGGCTCAATCGCACTTTATTTCAGCTGAAATGCAGAAGAGTTTGCTGGACATTTGTCGCTGTGGGCGACCTAGGCATGGCATCCATTTGACCAAGTGTCTGCAACGAGCTGTAAATAAGAATCTACAATCTGAGGAATCTGAATCGAAAGCCGTAAATAAAATGCCTCAGACTTCAAATTGTAAGTTTTCAGCAGATCTTCTTTTGTAGTGCTTAATATGACTCATTATTTCCAGCATTTATTGGATTTAAAACAGCTCCTTATCAAAAGTTAGAACGGTCCATGCAGTATATATCGCCTACAATCTCTATGCCGGGGCCTCGCATCACTGCTGCCCCATACAATGCCATTATTATAGGTTGACAAAGATTTGTAATTGCACTGATTAAATGCCGTGGGAAACATGAATCAGACTTTAGTTTAACCGAAAATTTAATGTAAATTAACAATCGCTTACGGCATATACAAATATAATTCCTTTCATCAGCAAACATGATCTCAAATATACTTAACTCAAATGTGATAAAGACTTTCCTGGATTAAATCCGAACTGAGCGCATTCAATCTCTTAGGAATAGCATTGAGATATAGGAAATTTCCCAAATCTTATAGTTTTATTAAAACTTGAACTTGATATTGATATTTTAAAATACGTTTAACTCTTAAGTATCTTGGGGACATCCCACTTAAGGTTTCTGTGGCAAAGTGATACACACATAAGCATCGAACTGGATTTACTAGTAAATCATTCATTGCGAAAACCAGTTTTATGAAATCATTTCTGTTTTTTAACCTTAGTAGTAGTAGAGCTGAGTGTGGGTTACCTAGCTGGGGTTTTAGTTCAAATGCAACTTCTCACGGGTCTACTTGTACGGAAATGTCTAACTATCTGCAATTTCGTCTGTTTGTGATTTGGGCTCTTATCACTGCTGACTTGGTGGCCAGCCAAGATTTCCTCATATTTGCGGCAACGACAGGTTCTCCATTGATGACTACAAGGCCAACGGTCCGTTCGACTGGCGACTTTGTGCTGGTCAACAATTCGCCAGTTGTGGGCACGATGACACCGTTTATCACAAACGCTGCGGCGCCCACCCAAGCATTCATCAATTGCTTTGGCCGTTGTCCAACTACGCCGGAGTATAATCCGATTTGCGCCAGTAACAGGCAACTGTATCTAAATGAACAAAAATTCAACTGCGCTCGCTTTTGCGGTGCCGGTGAGTAGAGCTAATAGAGCATTAATAACGCAAAGATTTCCATTGACTGACTCAGTTTTTATTATTCACAGATATACGGATTGTGCGTCGCGGTAGCTGCGAGGGTCTGTTTCCCATGCAACGCGGATGACGTAGGTTATACAGACTTTATGCTTGAACAATGAAATGTAAAAACTTGTATAAACATTTAAGCACATTTTAATCGGCATCAACAGCCTGCACTATACCCTGTTAATATTTTACAATATAAATATGTGTAAATGACTCATATTATGGAAACATCATATACTTTAAGACTGCACGCCCGAACTACCCCACTGTACATTATGAACGGGGAATATTTTATAGCAAACATGTGTCGAGAACTCTCAAGAATGAATGATCTGTATAAACATGTAAACAATCGTGATTTTGATAAGATTTTCTGAATATTAATATGTACAAAAACAGCTGGTGAGGTTGTTTAAATTATTATACTATATTATTATACCCTGTACTAAAGTACATATGCATTTAGGTTTTTTTTTTTTTTTCAATTCATAAAAACACTATTACTTTTACTATTTTTTGTCAAACTATATTTTTTAATGTTGTAAAAGAAACCATTTTGAATTAAAAATGGAATGGGAGTAAATTGTCAACATTTGAAAATAATTGCTTTCCCTATTGAAGCTGCAGTGCCTCGCACGGCCTTACCTTTATAGAAATACCCATTCAGGACAAAGTTGTTGCATGCAGGGTATACTAGAAGAGGAAAGCTGATTACATACAGGTTGTCAGCGTTGCCGTCTTCAGTTCCATTTTAAGCCCCGAAGCGTATAGCACACACGGTTGCGGCACCTGCGAAATATCTTATCAAGATGTTAAAGTCTTATCAGCTGCTTTTAAGCATAGGTCAGCTTATTTTCTTTATACAATATTTGTGCGCAGCTTCCGTTCCTCTTTAACGTCTCGAATTTGTCATCTATACAGTATTGCTGATTGCATTTTTTAACATTGGGACAAATTCATTCGTACGACGGGCGAATGTAACGATTACAAACCCAGCATGGAAAAGGTATAATAACACTAGGCCTTATTACGGAGCATTCAATGGAAGTCGAGCCATACAGCCCTTGCAGAGCAGTTCACAATATGCAGTACCTTACCAAGGAGCAGTACAACCAAACATAGGATTCAGTAACATTCTTTTCGGCTCTGGTACTCCAATCCAACCCAATACTAATTATGGAATTAACGCTCAGCCGTACTACCCAAACAGTACTACGCATGGAAGATTTAATTATACCAAAAGTGCTCAAGCCAACAGCACTTATCCATTCGCCAGGCTATTCAAGTTCTGGTAAAACTCTAAATATTCCAATATTGAAAGCAAGATTAAAAATGAGAACCAAGATTTTTTTTTTTTAAACATTTATTTTGCAGATCATCTGTTTTTGTTTTCCATATATAGGGGTTTGGACTGTCGGAATTAATAAAGTTCAAATTCGAAATTCTTTTCATTTTTTCAAACAATATTTATTGTGCAGATAATCCGATTTTAATTGACATTAGATTATCTGGATCATCGTGTTATAGCTTTCCGGTATTCCAGGAACGTTTTTATAATACAGTATATGTTGATATGATGATTGGCTCCACTCATGGGGTTATTAGGTCAAGGGATGTAGGTTATTGATGTTCAATTAAGCACTAAATCGTTCAGTCCTTCTATATAGATGACAGTTGTAGGTATACAGGTAGAGCATAGCTAATTATGGAAGTATATCAGCTTTGAACGTATAATTTGTATCATGTTCTTAGGTGCTAGGGGAATACCGACGATGATCATAAAGAAAAACAAAGCCCGATGTAGTACAATTTCAAAATAATCCCACGCCGCCGTCCGAAGCTCCCACGCCGCAGTCGCGCAACTCCCTCGCCGCCGTCAGGTAATCCCTCGCCGCAGTCAGGACCTCCCACGCAGCCGTCCCCGCTCGAGACTCCCTCGCCGCCGTCAGTTCGCAAATCCCACGAAGTCCTCCGCAAAGTCCCTCGCCGCAGTCAATTCACCGCCGCCCCTCCCATCAATGCTAGAGAAGTGTTGTACCTAGCGCCCTCGCCTAACCAAATCCCTAAAGGTCCCACGCCGAAAACTTGCGAATCCCTCGCCGCCGTCAGTTCTATTGGTATCCCACGCCGCAGTCAAAGCTTAAGTCCCACGCTGCCGTCATAATGTAGCTCAAATGTTGTTCCAAAATTTCAGAAAGTATATTCTCAATGCTCAAAAAAAATCCTAATTGCCCGAAACGATGTCTTCTCAGAAAACGTCAAAAATAAACGGCCTCATCTCATCAGTTATAGTAGTAGAAGAAATTAGCAGAGTAGCAGAATAAAATGACCAGAGTAAGTTCCTATCGCTGCCAGCGAGCCCTAATGCAGGGAAATGTGTGTGTGTGTTACAGATGCGAAGCAAGATTTCTTAAGGCTGAAGTTGCAGTTGTCCAAACAGAGATTCAAAAAGTGTCCTACGCGTTTATATGCTAGCCATCGTACGAAGAGAAAGGTGATTGTGCAGGCGGTCGTGTCGATGAAAATGATGATTTCTTTTCGCAATATTAGTAGTAGAATTGTGGCTTGGAAATCGGTTGAGTTCTGCCTATTTGCCTCGGACTGGATGCAGTTGTGACAAAGATGAAAATGTTCCCAAACTAGTTCAAGATTTACTCCTAACGAAGACCTCCAGAGGTACGTGCAGATGTGTTTGTATAGTGATAAGCCGTCAATGCCGTAAGATGATTTAAAAGGACCCTTGCCGCTCCAGCTCGTCAACAAGAAAATGTCGATTAAAAGCGCTGCGACGATATCTGAGTCGACTTAGAAAAACAACCAAGCTCGGATGAGATTCAATCTCAGCACATGGGGTGGTGGATGGTTGAATTTTGTCGATCAGGTTATAATCAATAGATTGCCCAGTTGTAGCTATCTCTGCCAGCCAAATTTGAACGGTTGATTGTCTCGTCCCGTCCCGTCCCCTCTCAGCAAAAGCCCCTGAAGATCGATAGACGACAAAGGTATGGGTAGGCCCGTAGAGAAATGAAGTTGTTTCATTCAAGTCGCTCCTTCACTCTCTCTCATTACGGGCGGATAGTAGGCCATCATCAGGGATCCTCGTCTGTCGAATTCATCTACGAACGAGTCGTCCCTGCCACGTGTCTTAAGCCATACTAATATGTACATGTCACAGTTTTACAATAATACAAATACAATTCAATCTTACAATACCAGTATCGAAAACTTATACAATTTTTAACAAGTAACATGTTATAGTAGCTCATTTGCATGGCTGTACAATTTACATTAATATAGTTGACAATGGCTATAGACCAGAAGAATTTCATTTTTGACAGTACCTCATCATGGAAGGATACATACTTCATCGTATGATCTAAAATACATAAACTGAGATAAAAAGGAAAAAAAAAAAAAGGAAAAAATACAAAAACAAGATACGGAATATAAATGAAGCGCGTGTCTCATGGATTCCCTTCGAGAACAACTTGACGTGTGCTGGCTGGACAGACTGACAGTCGACCAGGTTGGAAGTCGTTATCTGAAAAAACAAGTACACACCAACAACAACAACAACAAAATGGACAAGGATCAGCTATTCAAATTGATGCTGGCATCGATTCCCTGCCTGCCTGCTTGCTCGATCACTCGCTCGCTGTATGGTGCGCTCTTCATCTTGAGGATTCGGATGCTCGTTTTTGGGCCGCCACAATGCAGGCAATCCCGCATGTGTGCGTGAGTGTGTCTGTGTGTGTGTGCGTTGCTGCAGTACCACCTCGCAATTGTTTCCCATTTGCGGAATGCTGAACGGTGCACCAGGAGTTAAGCGCTCAACTGGCAAATCGAAGCGTAGCGTAGAGCTGGTTCAACTAGCTAGCTTCTTCGTCATCGAACACTAATCGCATTTGATTCCCTTTGCGATGGATTTGATTGATTACCGGGGGGGTTACATTCTGTTAAAAATATGTGCGACCTAAGAAATGGGAGTGAGCGGATAAGTTACACAACAGATTATAGAACCAGTTGAATACCACCACCGCCGTCTGGCCGGTTCTTCGATCTCTTGATCGCTGCCATCTGTCGCGACTGCTGCTGCACAGGATTTGATCTGATGCTTGGAATACTAGTCGCATTTGATTCCCTTTTGCGATAAGCCACGAGCACGAATTCCTCAGGTTGGATCGTTAAGGCTTCATAGCTGCTACTATATACTACCAATATACATACACTTGGCTTGCAGGGCGCACAAAATGCTGAAAGCGAGAACGAGGCGACGGCGACCATGAAGACGACGACGACGATGCTTGAGTGCCGGTAGCGTACTTGCAGGCAGCTGCCCGATAACAACGACAACACATCAGCTCGCCTCTTAAGCGAGTGCTGGTGATTGTGTGGTGTGGCGGGTCTCGGTCCAAACGCATTTGTTTCCCTTTAGCGCGGACCGAGCGCATATTTCTATGCGGTGCAATGCATTACGTGCTGGACTGAGGCTGACCCAGCCTCGTCTTGGCCGAGCTAGACTGTGATGCCTCCTCAATAGGGGAACAGAGGCTGCTCCTTGTGTTCAAGTGGTCGGGTCGTTAGTGCGTAGGAGCTGGAGTGCATCAACTACCAACTAGCCATTAGCCAGTAGACGACTATCGTCGTTGCCCAATATCGTGCAGCTTACGTTTCTGTAATGTAAAAACGTTAAATTGTACGAGGTACAAAACGATCTACTTGGATCTGTATCTGTATCTGTGATTCAGCAGGCTATTTGGCTGGACTCGACTCTCGACTCGCATTGGCCATCAAAAGGCAGCTGGGAGCAGTTGTTATACATTTTGTTGTTGTGGTGCTGGCATTGTTTGAAGACTGTACCTAGCTGGATGAACTTGATGTATCGTTTTTGATTCCCTTTAACGATTTTGTTGTGTGAGAGCTAGTAGAGTTGGAAAATAAATAGAATTCGTGTGTACATATTGTACCTCCGGAGCGTTCCCAAAATGGAATTTGTAGTAGTATTAAGCACATTCAACTGCCTCACAAATCGCTGCAAAAGTGAAAGTGCAAAGCAAAAATGGTAAGCGAGCAAATTTCTCACGTCGTCAATTGAGTTCCAAGTGACTAAAGCAGGAAGGCCTATCCTCGATCTAGAGATGGTAATATGTGATGATGGCTTTTATGGACGTATTAGCTTGCAAGTACTTGAAGATCGTCTTTTCTCTTAGGCTGTAAAACATATTTAAGCAATTCAAGGTGTATTCAGTGTCGGGCTGACCTTCACAGTTCACAGGGTTATCTATCGACCGGAATGATGTTGGTCAACTCTCGAGGTGTATATTGCTTGCAAGTTGGCTTTTCATTCTCATTGCCTCAAGGAATTTTGCTATAGGTATTCGGGTTTCTTTGCAATTTTTCCAGGAGGGTAGCAACCAAGAAACGCCACTGTAATTAATACATGACATGCTTAGAGAGAAAGATGTAGGTAAAAGTAGAGAGAAAGTAAACTTCTGTGACAAATCCTTTATAGTTGCTGATGTCTTAAGGGGATGACCCCAGGTAAAGAACAAAGTCTTCACTTCCTCGCCGACACATGGCATCTTTATCCTCTATCACTTGGAAAGCTACCGACAGATATGCGCAGGCACATTCAACTGCGGTTCTTAGCTACAAGATACAAAAAGGAAGAATTTTGCACAAAGGAAATCGCATAATTTACATGAAAATCCTTTAGATGACGTTCCCTCGCTTCAACTACAAGAAGTATTACCCTATTTGTTGGGATTAACAACTTCCAATATGCGCAGGCACCGTTCAACTGCGTCATATTGCTATAAAATACAAAAAGAAATGTTTTTTGTTTGGCATAATCTCAAAATTTACGCTTGATTCTTTCGTCTTTCTGCTATATTGATATAGGTTCATTCCTCCGACCATTGTCCAAGACAATAAGTCCACCTCACTGTCGTTTAGATTTTCAGTTTGCCGCCTGGCTGGAAATCATATAAACACGTTTACGAAACAGTTGGGCTGGCTACAAGAGCCAAATTAAGAGTAGAAATAGTAAAAATTACGCTATCCAGGATTATGAATATGATTATGATCATCCATCAACGTTCATAAATTAGTTTCTCGGTTTCAGCTCTTAACGAACAGACCATTGGCCCAACATGCTAAAAGAGAAACAAACGCAACATTTTTTCTTGTTAGGTAATAAGAAACACGTTACGCGTTTTTGGCCAGCTCTTTATCTCGACTTGCAATCCTGGCGTACTTCTAAACGTGCAACTTGATTTGACAGAAAAGATGGCTTGGACATATTGGATGGTCTGTGTATTGCTTGCTCATTCATGGTCATATCCTTGCAGACGCACGCAGGCACCGTTCAACTGCGTCACGTCGCTAAAAAATATTTGTAAAAACAAGAAATGTTTTGTGTCCTAAGTTTTAGAGGTGTCCACAGGGCGGGCGCTTAAAGCTGCATGATCTTATACTGTCAGACCAGACTAGGAATGGATGCGACTTTCCATTGATGAAACCAGACGCTCACAGGCACTGTTCAACTGTGATGCATCGCTACAAAAAGATTGAAGGCCACGTATTTATGCTAAACATAGCGATAGTGACAAACAAATATCAAACTTCTTCCTATATTACGATACGATAGTTCGCCAACTCCGCCGATTCCTCTATCAATCTGTAGATAAGTGTGCAGCCCCTCACTCTTCATGGAGTGTGTGGATATGAGAGTTCATTGAATTTCATAGTATATCTTAACTGCAATTCAAGAGTTAATCAAGAAGAAAAAATCGATACGGCTTACGTGCCACCAAATTCAAGTGAAGAAGTGAAGTGATAAGTAGAATACGACGATGCTGAGAAGTTGCTGCAGCTGCAGATAATGACGACGACGACACGACGAAGACGAAGAGATTCCATTCTATGATTTCCTTTTGCTGTAAATCTGTTTTAAAAAGTAATTGTTTTGCGTTCGCAGCTGATATACGAATACCGCGTGTATGCAGAGATATCTGTGTGGATTGGTGGTGGTAGTAGGTGCCGTCAGCAACTGCTAACCGCTTTATGTATAGTAGGTAGTGATTGTTGTGATGGTGGTAACCGACCCGGAAGCATAAGGCACACACACGTGTTTGCTGTTGAGCTCAAGCTGCTGCTGCCGCGCGCAATTCCGCCTTGTCCCCATTTATCTGTCAGCTGCATCTGGCATTTTGGGTAAGGGAGACTCGGTGGTGTTTGCTGCTGCTGCTGCCGCTGCTAGTTTGCTGTTTCGGCCAACTGTGTAGGATCGGCTGGTGTGCAACTGGCTGCCATTGTGGATGTAGAAGACGGACAGACGTGAAGACTCACTCAGTGATTAAAACGAAAATCAAGTACACGATTATCGATCGGATTGATTGATGATGCAGGTTGGTAGGTAGGTATCGATTTCATTGCCCATCGATTTAATATTTTCTGTTTTGATGTGGTTGCTCATGCTGTTTGTCAAGTGTTCCGTTCCTCCTCATCGTTGCCATTAACGTTTCGAGGAGCAGGAAAACTGTAAAACAAAATCAGTTATAGACGAATATGTTTACGACAAATGACAGGGAGAGTGAGAGACTTAGACATGTAAAAATAAAGGCAACACTGATTTCAAAATTACATACAAGTTTAATTTTATTTATCTTACATACATTTATCAGTTCCAGGTATTTGTTCTATATACATTTTTACCAGAAAAGCTAACGACGACAGTATTTTGAGAGATTTAAACCTAAGCTATCTATTATATTCTTACTCTCCGATTCAATATGAATCACCATCTTTCTGACTCAAAACTATTTCATAGAAGCGGACGCACTGATAGAAAAAATATAAATAGTATACAAGTCTACCTAAGGTTTGCCTCTTCACGAAAGATAAATCAAAAACAAAGGCAATGCATGTATACAAATACACATACTTCTAATATATGCATGTATAAACACACACAGCCGTAGACACATAAATAAGGCTGTTCCGTAAAACAAATACCTTGTCTGTATCCACACATACATACATACGCAGCAGCGCATGTTTGTACACATATGCATTTGAGTATACAGACACATTTCAAAATGGCGTCGCCATTGTACGTACCTGCGTATGTATGTATGTGTCGTCTTTGTGCGAAGCAACCCTCAGCTACACAAGCCACTAAAAACGTTTTCTGTTGTCGCTTACTATGAACAATTAGCTAGTTTCAGAAGCAGTATTACTAAATTAAAACTAAGTTGATTAGATAAATTTACAAACCGAGTGTGAATTCCGGACCAAAGGCTTCAGGTGAGCGTTGATTGACAGCAGTTGCTCATGACTCATACCACTCGCTCTGTCACGAAGGCCATTTGCTCGTCCTCATCATATCACACTCTTCTTCACAGCCTTCACATATTTTCATTACAATCTATGTATGTATAACAGGTTTGCACGCGTATTGCAACTGCAAATGAGAAATTTCTTTCGTAATAAAACTAATTTAACAAATATATCAGAGAAATTAATAAACAAGGTAAGCATGACGAATTTTTGAGCTAAAACACATTTCTCTTATGTACATATATCCAAGTATATATGTTTGTCTCTTTTTAACTAACTGCTCACTGCAATGGCGCATTGGCTATTGTTGTTTTTGTTGCTGCTGCTTAAACTGCTCAAAAATCTGTCGAGGCCACTCAGTTCGCTTTGCCACAAATTATTTTCGACATTGCGACGTTCGAATTCTTCTGTCTCCGTTTCCTCTGTGACGTCACAAGCATGATGAAATTTTTCGTTGCAGTTGTTATTTTGATTGTGGGTTTTGTTGCCGTTGGGAATAAATTTCGTTTGGACGTCGAGCCAACGACTGAATCGTTCCTGCTGCTTTCTGCGCAGCTCATGCTCTGCGCTGAAGAGAGCCGTCGACAAAATGGCGTTCACGCGTAAACTGCCTGAGCCACGCAATTTACGACGCATTTGCATACGTTTCATGCGAAAATTTCGCACCCAATACGTTAATGTTTTCGGCTGCTCAACATTATCGAATTCATCATAATACGCAACCATTTCGAATGATTTTAATTCTTTTCAATTATAACTTTCTTTTTAGTATAGACACATACAAACACACACCTCTTCTGTTGCCAAGAGTTGCTCACTCACTATCTGGCACTTTCCAGAAACTGAACTTTTAGATTTATGCACGCCCTTACGGAACAACTTTTCAACAGAGAATGCTCGAACAAATGGGAATGACGCGATATTTATAGCTGTGCTCGCAGTAGCGAAATGTATTGCTACGCGGCGCTGCTGAATGTAGTACCTGATTTTGCAACCCCTTTTTCAATAGGAAGGTGGCTGGATGGTGCAGAAAACCAATTTTTAGAATATTTAATATTATTGCAAAATCTAGTTTTGAAGGGAATTTAGTTTTCTTTGGATTTGGTTTGTTAAAATAAATTGTAATATTGCCCCCTATTTTTTTGTCAAGCAAGGCAGAATATTTCAGTTTCGATGTACCTGCCAACTCGCTTTAAGGCATGTACACAAATTCAATTGAGCAGATGGCTGAATATCGATATTTTAAACGTACCGATAGTTGTTAATTTTCATTGCTGGTTTTCTTTTTATTTTTAATAAACATTAATAAAATTTTTTAATAATTATAATAATAGATATTAATTACAAGTAATCCGAATATAATATTCAAAGACATTTATGCTTAATGTACATTGGTTTGCAATGCAGATTTAGAGTGGCGAGATCTAGACCAGTTTATTCACTAATGGAATTCGTTTATCTTCAAGTAGTAAGCTGCTTTATTCATGCCTTATTATTTGGACCATTTACATATGTATGTATTTATAAGAAGAAAAACGAACTGTTTAATGGAAAACGTGATCATACATGAGTGAAAATCACAAAGTATCGTACATGGCCCACGATTGTTCACTTCTCACTGAATTAGTTCATTTGACCTGTTTATTCAAAAATAATTTTTAGCGAATTTAATGAAATGCGAATGTCGTTAAATTTAGTATGTTTTTTATTGCAGCCTAAACGCATGCAATGATTTTAGTGTTCACTGAAGAATAGTCAGCACAAATTGACCATCTGCGATATTAAAATAAAAAAAATTTGTATTAAGTAACCTTAAAAAACATTTAACAAATACAATATTTATTCATCGGTTGTCAAAATCGCCCAATCAATGCCCGAAATAGCTTTCTATATAGTTCCATGCAAAAAACGTTTGTTTCCACATCGAGTTGTTCAGCACTGAAAGTATTCAAAAAGTGTGTTACAGCACTACTCGAATAGTCAGTTTAATTTTGTAGTGTCATCGAGAAAAATGGATGCATGCGAAAAGGAAAATGAAACCAAGAAACGGGAAGATAAACTGTAAGTAAAAAAAATTTAATTGTTATGATATACACGTCTGACTTACGCGTTTAATTGCTACAGCTTTCCGTTTAAGTGCTCTGAAGAGTACACCAATGAATTGCCCGATCCGAAAATTAACTGCAAGTTTCTGCCATGTGGTAAAAGTTTAATGGACTATACCGAAGAACCTGTTTCCTTTCCACAGTTGGAAACGCAGTTTAACCATACATTTAACGGTCTTCATATGTTGTTCGATATCGATCTGATCAATCAGAATTGCTATAACCAAGTCCCTGGGGGGCCCAAGGAAATAGATCCCAAGGATGCTGAGTTGTTGACTGACATTGAGGCGGTGCATATCAACAATTCCACGTTGAAGGGTTCGTATAATTTTCTCACACGTGCTCAAGAATACCGCGAACTCCTTGCCAAGAAGCGTTCCACTGTGCCATGCTTACAACATCTAGAGCCAGAGTCGGAGGATCTGGATCTGGATTCATTCAGCGTGGAACAGCAGATACAGATTATAGAGCAAACATTTGTGGACGTAAATAGGCCACTGTGTGCCCATCCCACCAAGTCGAACAGCAGTGTTCGGCCGGTCGCACAGCTGCCGGTGTTTCCAGAATCCAAACAACTCGAGCTTGTACAATTCCATTTTCATGTACCCGCCTTTGGTACTACCAATAGTATACTTAAGGATTGTGGAAGCTACTATATAAACTTTAAACAAAAGCCCGAGCCGGTTTTTCAAAGGATTAATCAAAAATATGGCAAATATCTAACCGCTTATCTCTCCGAGCAGCGCTTCAAGGAGGAGCATATCTCAGAAACCAGCGAACCCGACGGATGTGTTGAGAGATTCATATTGCGTGAGAAGGATGGCAGCCTCTACTATCAGACGCTTGGCAAACATATCAAGTTACAGAAGGGACAGACAATTCAAAATTCGTTTTCTAACCTATCCCTGCTGGCAAGTCCACGCAAGACTGTTTCAATTGATATGTATTGATGTATTGATATCTCCTCTCTTTGACAGGTTAAGCGCTCTAAGTAAAACCAGAAACAACCCATCTCTACCAACAAGATGTCATTGCACTGATCTTGATCAAATCGGTTTCTACATAGCTCTGTCCCATCTCTAAACAAATATAGTAAACAGTCCTGAAGAAATAAATTAAAATATATATTGTAAGCAGGTCAGATTTATGATATAGCAATTGCTTAAATGGTATAGCTAATTTGAAACATCCTTAATTTATCATCAAATATTTTCAATTATAATATGAAAGCAATATTGAAGGATACAATTTCCTGTTAGTTTATAGTCATAATATATAGTACACATAGTGATTTATAAAAATATAAATATCTAAAATACCTACGGGATCGCACCCATCTCCGGCATGTGTATAAAAACGTGAGAGCAGAATCCAAGTATCGCTTTCAAATGCTCTCAAATCTCAGGCTAAACCTTTCGTATATATCAAATCACATTCCTTAAATATATTCAAGGTTTGTTCCACATTAGTAGGCCCCATTTACGAAACATATATACACATGTAATAAATTTCGTAAAAATAAGTAAAGCATACGCTCCGCGCTTAAAATCCCAAATTGTAGAACTATGAAGCCCGTTATCGAATGGCTAATTAGCGTTTGTGCTGGCCTCCTCTTTAGCACTCAGTCCATGCGTATTTTGAAGATAGCCAACGATGAGAAGAATTCATCATCGTCGTCCTCCTCACAGACCAAGCCCGTAACGGCGATTAAAGACGAACTGGAAAAGCCCTACATTATGGGATCCGAGCAGATAAGCGCCGCATTGCAGACAGTTCTGAGCAGCGATGGAAATAACCTAGATAATCAGATGCTATCCGACAACAACAACAACAATAACAACGGACAATTCGAGTATACTTTGGGGTCGGAGTCGTTGAATCGCATGTTGGAGGACATGTTGGCACGTCCATGCAGTGAGAATATGGAGCTACCCCATATCGAGCCGGCAATACAGCTTTAACTATCACATATTGTATATATTTATATATATATACATATATATCTATATGTATGTATATACATAGATAAATTGTCAATTGATATGTTCAGTTTCTTTTTTGTTTATCTGTAAGAATTCTCTGAATAAATTAACAAATATGGTCTACTAAATAAAAGGTACAGATAGACATATTTGTATATGTGTGTATGTATATATGAGGTGGTGAAATGACCATAAAATATTCCGTTTCTGATATCCGCTACGATTTTTTGTACATCTAGTATAAGAGCTACGACTGAAAAAGCTTCCCCGAATTTCCTAAAATCGGAATGTAGAGTAGAAGAGAAACTTGAGTATTGCCATAAACATGACATTGTTCATAATCATCATCGGTATAGGGCTTCGGGTATTATCTATTTTGGAATAGAGCATGTATGCTAAAAGCCTTCTGAGGATACCAGGTCGTAGGCACTTATATACATATGTGTGTCAGCCACTGAAATCTGTTCGCGATAATCGAATTGCATAAATTTACGGCGAACGCGTTGAAAGTGAAAAACCACAGCACAAAATGGCAGCCCAACTTATTTTCACCGTTTTTCAACATTTCCAGCATTTCCACAGCTGTCATTGAAATGTCAACATAACACACACACACACACTCGTGTATGTGTGCTACTACGGCGTGTTCGCAATCCACAAACAGCGGATTAAGGCTCAGACACTCAGCCTCTGTACGCTGCGTGACGTAAATACTGATGAATACCTCGCAGTTCCCCAGACTCCCCATCCGGGCCCCAAGCGGGGGCAGCTAACAGTGCAGCAATTGTCCTGCTGTTCTGCTAAAGAATAGATGCCTGTCCTCGTGGTTTTACTGTGCTAGTGTTCATTTAGCCGAGGTTTGTCTATTTTGATGAACCAGTTCCTGCACATATCCTACTGGTCGGTCAATTAGTGCTAGCACCTCTTGAAGGTGGTGAACTATTTAAAATTATTTTATTTAGTAACTCAGTTTAGTAAATGAATTAGGCATTTATTATTGTTGTATTCATTTGAGCTGGTTAGCTTAATACGTATGAACTGTCGAATGGAATTTTTTTACTTATATATCTATCAAAAATAGTTCGTTAGTCCGTTATGTAACTAGTTAAATTGAACTTATCTTTAAATAAGAGAATATTATTATAATATTATATCAATGATGTTAATGCCCAAGTCAGACATACATATATATTCATTACATTTTACATTTCCTAATTTTAAAGCTCAGTTGATGAATCAGTCTTAATCTTTAAGTTCACTAGCTCTTTCGAATGGACAGTTCAAAGGAACTATTTCTGCACTTGAAGATATATCTCTATGGCATCACTGCTGCTTCCCATGTGAAAGATCTGTGTGTGGTTTAATTCATTCATAAGTCATGTGGCAGGAAGAAGTTCCGGGCAGACGAATGCACCAAGATTAAGCCACGTAAAATGGTGTCAACATTCGGTTGTGCGGCTTATTTAATGTGATTTCCTATTTATTAGACATACATACATTACTGTCTGTATGTACTTGCCTCCACGTTAAACTGCCGTCGTGCTGCTCTATATGTATGTATGTGTGTATGTGTGGGGGTGTGTGTGCATTACGCATTAAGCCGGCTTAAATATGATTAATTAAATGGTTTAGCTCTGTCTTGCGGCGCATAAAAATGACTAATGGATAGAATAAACTTGTATATATGTACATATGTACGTATATTTATATAAAATAAATATATAATACAATAATAATATAATAATAAATAAATAATAATATAATATAAAATGTATATGCCTACACATATATATGACATATATTTACTATACTATTTTGTAATATTTCTGAGTATGGATATTAATAACTAATATTAGATATATTAACCAACACTAATTGTTATTTGCTTGCTTATAAGTTTTTATTATCTGCATCCTTTTATCATATATAACAATGATATAAATATAAAAAAAATACATATTTCATATGCTCTATATAGTCTATTCGGGATTACAGCTTTGATTATACTTAAACAAATGCAAAAAAGCTAATAAGCTCTATGTTTCTCTCTCTCTCTCTCTCTAAAATTGAAGCTCAACTCAAAAGTATAAAATGTTGTTTGGATCATATTTTAAGCTCTGCCCTATCGAGGCTTTTAGCTTCTGCAGTAGCAATATTTTCATTTTGGCGAGCGAGAAAGTGCTTAGTCCTTCAGCCTTTGCTGTCACGTTTCACATAAGTCTGCAGTTTTCTAATCTTTATAGTTCAACGTTTCCAGAGTTGTGCGCTTAAGTGTGCAATTTATATGTAAAGCTGCTTAAAAAAAATATCAAGCTATATATATCTCTTTCTCTCTGTCTATCGCACTCTCCCTTTTTCTCTCTTGAGTCAATTTTCGTAGGACATATTTATGAAGGCAACTTAACCAATTAGTAGCCCAATTAGGCAAGCAAGGCCGTTGGAGACGAATAATTCTTGGTCGCCTTTAACACCCTGTGATTGCGTAAGTGAATGGGGTATATGAATTTTATAGAAAATGTAAGTTATACGAAAAGGGTTGGGAAATTCATTTTAATGGCAGTTGATTAGCTATAATATATGTATATATATATATATATATGAATCTTTATTCGTTGCTTACATGTGTTATCTATATATGTATGCGATTGTTATAGATAAGAGTTTGTTTGTTATAATAATGTATGATTACATCTTATATATATATAATTGGTAATTTTCTGTCATTATCTCTAGATTAGATATCTTCTAATAAGTATAATCTAATTAAATATGCCTATGTCTAAAAACATTTACATTCCATGTTGCCTTTAAAGCATTTTCCATTTGGGCTTTCATGCAATATAAATCTCGTAATCAATCACGTCCAAAATCAATTTCGTCTTTTTCCAAGACCTTAATTCATAAACAGAAACAGCAATAGCAACAACAGCAACAGCAGCAGAAGAGGTTTTTTGACCTTCCCCACATGTGTAACAAATGCGACTGTCTGGCTCCTGAAAGTCGCAATACGAATTTTTGTTCGGCAACTAGCAACAAACAAAGGCCACTGGAGCATGCACTTTATGAATAATGTGAAAGCTTCGGCTAAATTTTATCTGAGAGGGCGACATTACAAGTCATTAAAGAGAGAGGGAGAGGGAGAGAGAGAGAGACTGTGCCATAAATGTTGCGGGGTATTCAGCAGCATGCTGCCAACATTGCACTGCTTAGTCATTAACGAGAGTGAGAGAGAAGGCTGTACCATAAATGTTGCGGGTACTTAGCGGCATGCTGCTGCTTGCACTGCTTCGACAGCCTGCGATGTTGCTGCAACATTCGTTGCCTAGCAGCATCTGTCGCACTTTGTTATTGATTTCTCGCTTGAGTTGTCATTGAGCTAATAGAGTTTTGTATGCACGAATAATTAGATAATTTATCTAGGCTTTAATAATAGACTGTAAATACATATAAATTTCTATTCAAATGATTAACAGTAGTCAAAACAAATGAGCTTAAATTCGATGCAACAAGAAATATTCATAATTGAATCATGATATATATACATATATTATTTAATATAAATTTTACAAATTCATAAAATCGAACTGCACCAAATATAGAATATAAAGCACACAAGTGACAATCATGCGAAAGCCCATTGCGTTGTTAACACGAAATAAACCGCAATAATTAAATCTGGGACGTCGATGTGTGCAAAATAAAGCAAAGTTAGTGATCTGTAAAAAATATTTAAACTTATTTACATTTTCTATAAAACAACTGATGTTACTCACACTCCGATCTAGCCATGAATCAGCAGTCGATCTATCATTGAAGAGCCTCAAGTTGATTGAGGTCTCTTCGGCTGCGCGTTCAGTCAGCTCGCAGACGGCGATATGTAGCCAAAAGTCCAAGACGTTAATGGCAAGGGCCTGGCTAAGGTTCAAGACCAAAGGCAAAGTCAGCGTCTTTTTCAGGCTGATGCTATAGACGAGAATATAGAATATGGATGTGATATTGATACTCAGCAGGCATAGCATGAACAAAATCATTTGATAGCTGTAAATGGAGGCCAAGCGAGTGCTGAGCGCTACGAGGCGACTGTAAATCCCCTGAAGATCGTGAATGCGTCTAAATTTGATCTTCGGCTGTGTTGCCAGCATTCGTAGCTCCCGATTGATGAGCCAAATAGAACGATATATATAGAGCACGGCCAGATGGAAATGCATTCCCAGCAGCAGGATGCTCAGCTGATTTGTCATAGTAGCCGCCAGACCCAGAAACAATTTGTAGCCGATGGGCGTATTGAATCCGAGTGTGAGGAACAACATCGAAATGAGCTCCAACCAGATTGTGAGGCTCTTATAGATAACATTGTTATCAAAGTTGGTGCAATCCAAAGATTTATATTCAGTTTCATAGAGCTGAAGCAGAGCATTCAGAACATTTCCGAGTTCCTCGCTTAGCCACCAACTGCGAAAGAGCGTCACGAAGAGAGTGGTTAAATTTAGACCCGTCTGTATTTGACTGATTTGTTCTGACAGAGGGTTACGTTGGTAGATCTCGGCCAAATCGACGACTTCTGTATCGTCGTAATAGCGAAAGGAAACCCGAATGATTCCCAGATTCACAATAATTCCATATGCAATTAGCCACTTAGAGCGTCGCAGTCTTTTGCTGCTCGCCACATAGACGAATGGGAATAGACCCAGAGCCCATGAGCTATAGAGCGTCGCCCACTGATTGAACCGAGCGAATTTGTGACGCCAAGTGCGACGAGCTTGCCACATTATAACCGAATGAACTAATTTATGTGAAAGGTCTACTTCCTGGGCGGGCCACAAAGCGAAAATCAAACAAAGGGAAAATCAATTATACTAATATGATATGATATTTCGTGGCTAATATAAGATAATCTTCAATAGTCATAGGCATGCTAATACGCTTGCTGACATATAGTACACATAGGAGATGCTTGTAGCTCCCATCTTTATTAATTTTTAATTATTTGGTTTGTTACTATGTAATCGATAAAAATCGATTATAATTTATATATGTATATATTCACATTTACTTGAGCATATCTTACATAATTATGGATACTTATCCTTATTGAGTAAGCTTTATCTAGCAGTGCTTGACTAGAAAATACTCAATGATTGCATATACATATAAAGTATTTATCTATGTTCTATTCATTTTAATACAGAACTACTATATTAGCAAAGGGTAAGTAAAGTTGCTCTAGCTTAAAATGTTCTATTAGGCCTTAGCTTGAAATGTGCTCTATAGCTGTTTGCTTATATACCAAAGGCCGTCAAATCGGTCATCGGCTTGACTTGGATATTGAAAGAGCAAAAGATAATAATAAAAGACGACTACAATTTTGATAACGCAAATGGAATGCGAATTGCTCTATTATGTGAATGACTTAACCTATTGAATTGGATAAGATTACTTAAACTAGGCATAACAGTAAAGTGGAACTAAAATTCTAAGTGCTTACCCAATATTTCAGAGAGAAACCCATGGAACTTTTTAAAGTTGAAGCACTCACTGCAAATATTGATTTTTTTTTTGTTGTCATCAAAATTGGGAACTTTTGACCGTTAAATAGTGTACGATAGAATGGAAAAGTTTGAAATGCAAATTTGAATATTTGGCGAGGCAAATCCCAGCGTCGATGCGAGCTCGATGCGAGGCGGGCAAAACTAATTACAAAGTACAAATGTGTCATTTGGCCATGTTATTTGAGTACTTTATATTCAAAACTGTGTTATTTGCAAAAGTCGAGCAATTACGACGGCAACAGCTGCCGCTGTCACATTAACCTGATCTGGAGGTGGGGCCTGGGATTGTGTCCTCTAAATAGGCCGTTGCTGCTAGCTGTTGGCTGTTAGCTCTTGGCAGTTGCCTGTTGGCTACTCACTGCTGGCTGCTGGCTGCTGGTTGTTGGGCTGTTGTGCTCCCCAGCTTCGTGGTTAATTGTGTTTTTTGTATTCCCGGCGTACAGCAATAGGCATCGTTAGCATCGCAGTCGGGTAAACGTCTGGCCCCCAGATGCCTTCTGTGATTATCGTCTCGGATTTAATGTGTACTTTGATGTGAAACATTGCCCTATTCACAGAGCTGCTGCCATGCTCGTTCACACAGTCAAAGGTGTATATTAGCTTTTATTGAAGGCCGGCTTTAAGCTAATAAGCTCTTATAAATTTTTCTTATTGAAAAAAGAGTCATTTATGCATGATTAAAATTTTTTTTTTTAAATATACATACTTAAACTTAATTATTTATTTTTCACATTTCCGGCATATCGAGAAGAGTTAAAATTTTGGCTGGATTTGTGCAGCAGCACCAAACAACTTTCTCTATCAGCACTTTATTTTATTTATTTATTTATTATTTATTTTATTTACAGCCACCCACCATAAGTAAACAGCTTCTACTCCTATTCTATTTAATGTCGACTTCGATGCGCAGCTTTGCTCGTAAAAATGAAATGGGTGTATCGGCTTTTATTACAAATGCGTTCAATTCCGTCCGCATCCTATAAAAAATCTTGAAAGAGTATATAAAATTCAAGGAATAAGAAAAGCAGCTTATTTTAAATTTAATTTAGTTAAAATGCTCATACATACAGGTACAAATTATGATATATACATACACTCTTCACTCAATAATAAAAAAAATCTGTAGGTAAACTCACCTTAGACTGATGCAAAATTGTTTGGCAATTGAGAACTGATACGATAGACATACTCGTATATGTATATGATAAATACGATAAATAATTGAAAATGTCCAGCTGTTATGGACTTAAGAGCCAGGCGATTAAATGCCATTGAAATATTCAAAGCTAGGACTTAGAATCAAATCCAAGCAGTCATAGCTTAATTTTAGGGTCTATCGCTATAATATTAACTATGAATATCATTTTCTCCTTCTTATGCTGCACTTCTTCTTTCCTCTGAGCGAGCATTGCTCAGTCGTTAGTACTCGACCAAAATATTCATTACTTGTAGTTCTTCTGTTTGTCAAGTCCCTGTACTCAAAGCAGGCGGCGCCATTATCCCATTGAACTATATTTAGAGTCTAATGAAAGCTTTGGTTTGTGCAGGGCTATTATAGCTACATGCACACATATATATATGATGTTTTCTTTTGATATAAATATATATGTATACATTTTGAAAACAGACAGAGATGTTTACATAAATACATACAAATGTATATGTATATATATTATATAACTGTGTTGGGCTGAATTTTGCTCATGTTCTCGCCTTTGAATTGTTGACCCTGCTGAAAGCCTTAAAACTTAATCGAAGAGAACACATCAAACAACATTCGTTGCCTACTCTTTAGCTCTATCTGCGCGCGCGGGCCCAGGGCAGAGTTGGGCCTTGAGTTTCGCACCTTTTCGCTGTGACGTTCAGGTGTTTGCTTCAACTTTGTTTGGGTAACTTTTTTTGTACAACTACTTAAGCACGTAGATGTGGCAGCTACGTTGTTGTCGTTGTTGCTCAGCGAAAAAAGTAATTTTGATTTTATTAGCTGCGTAGCAGCCGATGCTATTGATGCCTCGGCTGGCTCACCTGTATCACCTGTCCCGCTTTTTAGTTTCTTTTGCCAATTCACTTCTTGCACTATTGGCTGAAAAGTTTACAGCTGAGCAGAAACGAAGTATTAGTTGATGCCATTGACATTTTCATTATTTTCTTTACTTTTTTCATTTTATGGCTAAAGCACTTGGGCCATGCCACATGCCACATGCCACAAAGTCAGCCAACCGTTGAGCTCAAATGAAGCAAAGGCGTCAATAACTAAACGGAATTTTTATGAAAGTCCTTTCAACTAAGAAACACAATCTCAGATTATAGTCGAATTCGAATATCTTAAAGCTTTGTAGGTGTTCAATACGTGATCCCAGTTGAGCTTTCAAGCAGACGAATTTCAATGAAAATATGTATGACAAGCAAATTATGTATAATTAAGTATACATCGCAGATAAGCGAGAAGTTAAAAATGCATTTTAGTTATAGATATCAATATCAGTATTATATGATAGTAGAGACTTGAGTGCATATTAGAAATCAGGTATAGTATTGGTTTGGTGTGTGTTTCTGTATGCAGCAGACCTCATTTTGTTTCTCCATGATCGAAAAATGACTCAGAGAGAGGCTCAACAGTTGAGTTTGTCTGTGAGAGAACGAAGGTGCTGTCGCCCTATAAATGGAAGGCCCCCTGCTGCGTTTCTTCAGTTGCCTGTTGGACCTGATGGTGGTCAGACATTCTTCCTCTTCCTCTTCTTCTTCTGCTGCTGCTGCTGCTGCTGCTGTGGTGAGTGCTTCATTAATTAATCATTTATATTAAGAACAATTGTAATAGTTTAAATAATAATTTTAAGTAATAATAATTAAAAGAATTGTTACAATCTATTTTTTTTATTATTATTTCAGTTTAATAATAATAAAATATAAATAATTGTTTTTTTTTTCACTTTAAAAATAATAATAATAAATAATTGCTTTAATGTTTACTACTATAATGTTAATGATCATTGTGCTAATTATGTATAAATCATTATAGAGCGTGGGCTAATGGCCAATAAAATAAGTCTTATTTGGCAATTGATTATTAAGAATAAAAAATAATAATCAAATATGCAATAAGAATGTTGTAAACAAGAATTTTAATGATATAAACATCGAAGCAATAATGTACTATAAGAGTATTTAATAAAATTATGCTTTTTATATTTTATAAGATATTCACAAGCTATTGATAACAAAGAGGAATATAATATAACCCAGCAGCTAAGAGTGGGAGAAGTAATAAAGAGTAATTTGGTTCATAATTTAGTCTTGAATAATACGAGAGGTCATCTATGTACATATAAATATACATATAAATATACATATATATGTATGACTTTTTGGTATTATGAATATTCATCTAAAATGAAAAGTCATGTCTACAACAGTTCATCGCTATCAGAGTCATCGTCGCTGTCAATCAACTGGCCAATGATTTGGAACTCGGCGTTCAGGCTGCGCTCCCAGCGCTGGATGAGATCAGCTGTGGACACGCCCATTGAGCCGCATGTGATGTTGAGCACTTGATTGGCATTGTTGCCGGCGAGCAGAGAGTAAGGACCGGGCTTCAGGAAAGTTTCGCGCGAGGGGCTGAGATCATAGATGTTGCCATTGAGCGCCGTGTACACCGGTTCGCCCTCTCGCATGCCATCGTAGGCCATCAGCTGTAGCCGGGTTAGACGCAGTGTATCCGGTGCATTGGGCAACGGAGCTTCATTCAGAGCTGGGCTGTGCTGGTCCTCCTGGCTCTCCTGGCCCTCCTGGCTGTCCTGAGTATAATTTTCCTGCGACGATTCATCATCCAGTTTCGCTTGACTGCTGCCGGCATGTGTTCTGTATAGTATATAGACCTGGGCAATCTTTGTCGTGGCATAATAGCCCACAACAAACGATATTATCACTTGGGCAATGGGACTCTTCAGTAAAGGACGAATCGAGCGAATGGCCGCACATATATTCAAATTGGCTGGCGAAATCAATAGCTCAAAGGTGCGTTCGATATGGGTTAGCCTAGGAACTTACTAGCATAATGGAAATTCGCCTGCAGCACCTTCAAAGGCGACATTCTAAGGGGTAGTATTTTCGATTCCGCCGATTACTTTATTTATATACATTTAGTGTATATATGGGAAAAAATATTTTTATTTTGTGACACGTCAAATTTTGTAAATTTTGTTATTGTTCGTTTCTGGCTTCTCGATGAGTCTTTTTTGTATTCGATCGTCTTGAACGATTAACAAATACCCTGCAATTGCAGGCTGGCGCATTCGTGTACTGCATTATCTATACTATTATATTATTATTGATTTTTAATTCTTCTCTCACTCTGTGTATTTTATTTGTCTCTCTCTCTTCTTGACTTTCTCTCTGTTTCTACCAGTCTCTCTCCATCTCTGTGGCTCTCCCTCTCTTGTTTATTGTCTCTAATTCTGTTTCCCTCTATCTCATTGTCTTTCACTCTTCTCTCCTTCCTCCCTGCCTTACTTTCACTACCAATAAAGTTCACATATTAATGCAATATAAACTAATCGATATTTATCGATATATCATAAAAATATAAATTTCAAATAATATTCATATGTATAGAATAATCTCAATGTAGTTCAATTTCCATATTAAATATATCCAGAATACCCTACATTGACAATTATGTTTTTACAGGGTATTTATATGAAAATATATGAGAAAACAGCAAACACCAAACGCCAAACGTCATTCAATGTAATTAATTTATTATAATATGGGCAACTTAATAGCACCTGGCGTGGGGCCTACGCACACGCACACGTACACGCTTACACATACGTATACGTAATCCACAGGCTAATAATGCGCATACGTATAGCCAAGGCACTGCTCAGTTCATCTGCTGTTATGCCATCTGACAGTCTCATTTATAATATTCGCATTTCGGCAGCAATTTGCATTAACTTTATTGCCCATATGTGTGCGCATATGTAGCGAGGACTTAAAAACATTTTCATGTTTGTAACTCATCTGGGCGTTTGCTGTCATTCCGTTTGCTGCCATGCAGTTGTCGACGATATTATAATTTTCTCTGAAGATATGGAATGAAGCGAAGGGAGCGGACTTTATATATTCCTGATACATTTGGGAATTTTCATCTTTGGATCTTCACTTTTCTGGTAGTCAAATATATTTTTATTAATTTTTCTCTTTTAAAATTATATTGAATATGTTTTGTCTTTAGTGGAGCTGACTTGTTTTTTGGGCTTGAAAATATTATACATTTTTAGGCGGAAGAATTATTAGAATATTTAATTTATTTTTTTTTAAATATTAATATAATAATATTGTTATATAGATATATATTTTTTTATATGATTCACACATTTATATCATTTATTTAATATTTATGTATTATTTATTTACTATTATTATTATTATTATATTTTTTTGCTTATATTTTTGTAATGTAATAAAGTCAAGCGTATTTAAGCTTCGGTTTGCCATAAATCGACATTCTTTCATGTTTATGAAATTGGTTGTAATTGGGCTTTAATATGACTTAAAATTCTCATAACAAATATTTTTTGTCGGCTGTTGTGTAAAAGTGTGTACACACACATATACATATATAGAGCGAAAATACCAGCAACCACAAATTGGCAAACATACATACATATTTACAATGCCGCAGGGAAGATAAAAGAAGCTAGATGGAAAAATTGGTATTTTGGTCGGCTAACGAATATTTGAGACCCTGCTTTAAACTACATTTTGTGAATAGTTGTATATATTGCTATGTTGTAAGAACTTAATTTTCCCTGTATTGATGTTATAATTATGATTCTGTATTTATGTATGCATATTAAAAGTAAAACATACCAAGAATAATAATACTGCTTATTACATACTATATTCTCATTATTTAATGCTCCAATTCAATTTATTTCAACTTATTTCGATAAGCTATATGTACATAAGACATATGCCAATATATGTTAAATCCTCGTAATCGTAATTATGTTAACATAATCATCCTTAAAATAATCTCCTTCAATATGTGACTCATTTTGCGAGCACAAAATATTATAATCCCATAGCAAAATTGTTGAACAGCTTGAATTGCATTATGCTGCAATTTAAATTTGCATAACGTTGATTTCGGTTGGAATTTAATGCACTCGTGGAGCAGCTACAGAAGAGCTTACATTACGTATACGCCGTCGCTTACGTCGATCATATGGCCCGGGGATTATTTGCGGCTGGAATGTTGATTGAACAATTACAAAATGTTTACAAAAGTGAATACCCTGTCCTTATTGAAATTGCAGGAAATATAATTGAAAATATTTTGAATTTTAATTTTTATTATTTTTTGTATCTAATGGAATGGGAAAATATATAATTTATGTATAAATATAAAAATATTTACAGGGTATTTTCAACCAGCCCCACTTGACATGCCTGCTTCAATTTAATATAAAAACATATTTTGCATGCTGTTTAAATATAATTGCACTCGTTTTGTGCGCTGAATTCATAATTTAATTAAATTGTAAAAAATTTCATAAATTAATTTAGGTTAACGCAATCTTTTTTGCCAGCACGATTTTGGTTATTAATAAACTTTTCAATTGCCAGCAAACAGCGTGACAGCTGCTCGCATTAACTTTTTCTTTTCGTCTACAATGCTTGTTCATTTTATTTTTATTTTTTTTTTTTTTAGTGAGAGGCGTCCTCGTTGGGCTTTGTGCAATTCAGACGACGGAGGACTCATGCTGTGCCTATATTTCAATTAAATTGCTCTGTGGATTGTTTAATTGGGGTACGCAGCGAGGCGCTAGGTGGGGACACATGTCATAGATTAATATGTATAATAATATAAATGATTTTCTTTTGTAACTCTCGAGGTTCAATGACCTGTGTATCAAGTGTGTCGTCTTCCAGCCACTGAAAGGCGTTGTCATGGCGATCCGTTTTGGTTGTCTGTACAGGATAGCGAAGCCACGCAAGTGTGGATGCTACTCCTCCCGCTTGGAGCAAATTAAGGGCCTATCTCAATTAAAAGCTGCTTTGCTAAAAATGAAAGCAAAGCAACGACCTTTGAACTTAAAATTTATTTTAAAGCGCAAGCTAATTGGCTTCTATCATTTGCTTTTATGGACTTGTGTGATATTTTTTTATTTGTAAAATCTAAAAAAATATATATATATATATATATATATATATATATATCAAGATTTAAATTATTATATTTATAATCCCTAAGTAATAAATACTTAACTGCTTCAAAAAAGAAGTCCACACTGAGAGATAGTTGTTTAAATAGACTCCAATACTGATGTACATACATATATTGCAGTTGATTTTAATTTTCTCTAATCAGCCAAACAACTTTATTAAAGTCCATCAAATTCAGCAGCAACAGACCAACTCCACTTTGCCCTTTTCATAAAAACCATATAAATTACCCACATAAAATAATGGCAGTAATAAATAAAAACAACGAGCAATAGGCCATTAATAAATGTAAAAAAGAAATTAAAAACCATTAAGAGTTTATAAATAATTTAACGCAAAGTTTTTCCCGTAGTAAACTGTGTTTTTTTCGTCCATCACTCGAGGCTCTCTGTCCACAGGATGCCGCAGCAGCTGATGCCCCGAACAGCTGGACGCAAATGTTTTGGGTAATTTGAATAATACTTTTTTGTTCGCTCGTTGCGAAATGGTCCAAAATTAAACCCAAAACAGAAGCGAGGATGCTGTGCGCATGTCCTGCCCCGAGATGCGCTCTCAGTTTTATGGCAAGCGAGAGCTTTCATCTAGATAATGGCAGCATCCAATGCATCGAGGGCGATGCCGCTTCAGTAGCGGACCAGATATCAAGCGTCACGGTTGGTCAGCGCTTAGCTTCGAATACCTTAGCTTAGGGGAAGCAAGCAGAAAGAGACAGTGACAGAAACAGAAACAGAAACAGAAACAGTAAAAGATATTCCTTGAGAGAGCATCGCGTCATGCAGCTCTAATTGTAAATTCAGAAAGTTGAAATTGTTTGCTTTTTGTAAGCTAAACAAAAAGTCACACTTAAATACTCATTCGGCAGCTCAGCTCGTGTATGTTGAAATTACTTTTACAAAATATGCAAATTAATTAAATGTGCTCACTGAATATGTAATATAATGACAATGAAATATAAATAAACAAAATAGTATTACCTTTACTATTTTTGTGAAGTGACTGTTGGCAAAATTTGTTCTTTTAATCATTAATCTAAATGTGCTGAAATATGGAAACAATTAATATTGAAACTTTTAAAAATTAAATAAATAATTTACTAATTTATAATGAATTAAGTTTTGTGTATAAATAAAGCGTATAAGGATTGCAGCAAAAGCATCCATATTATTGGCAGAAAGTTGTGAAAATATGAACTGGGCATTTGTTTAACAATTGCGGCAATTAAAATAAAATTATATTACAAATCATAGTAAACGACATTAAAAATACAAAACAAATATAAATATTTAAAAGCAGCAACGTTGGTGTATTATTATTATATTATTTGAATTATATTGTTTGATATTTTTATTGTAAATATTTGCCTGCTCTCGATGCAAGAATTTATTTGAATTTATTAGCAATGTAATTTAACTATTTCTAACACTTTTTATTCTTTCCATACATTGAATCAAATTTGTTTTGCTGACCGAAAAATGATATAATTTCAAAATATTTTGTAATTTTTAATATGAGAGCATTTAGCAATTGCCTCTCTTTTTATTTAGTATTGCTTACTGAACTCATAGCGCAAGATTTGTACGATTAATGATATATTCTTTGATCATTAAAAAAAAAAAAGAAAAATAAATTTGCCTTAGACTAACCAGTGTATAATTCATTCAATTTCAATGGCCAGAAAAAGTCCTACTAATACATTAACATTAACATTCAATTATATACTCAAGTATGCTTTGATTATATAATATTCTTAATATTTCGGTTGTTGCTTCAGCTGGTTACAGGACCAACATGTAGTTTGTTGTTGGCCTTCTGTTTTTTGCCCCCAAAAAATGTATCTTCGCCCAGCTCTACCCCCACTTAACCTCCTAATCGATATTTCTCTAATGGCTGAAGCTAAAAATAAATATCGGCTTTAGGATTCTAGCCAAAATAAAGAAGAAATTACAAGCCTCAAAGATCCTGTAAAATGAATTATAATTTAGTTCATTTTTCAAAAATTTTTGTTAAACATAAAGGAGAAAAATACTCCTTTACAATTTTTTCGTATTCTTTATTTTTATATATTATTAAATGCAATATATTGTTATTCAAATTTCATATAACTTTTTGAAGCAATTTATGTATCTAAAACATTTATAAAAAATATGTATGACTAGACTTGCATATTATGACCTATCAAAAGTCTTGTACGCCTCTAAGATGTTGAACATATTTTGAGTAACCCGCAGATAGTTTCGTTCGTAGGATTCTCCACTGAATTTCTATTCAACACCAGGTCGCATGTTGCGTAAAGTTTCTAACACAGGTCGAGTAAATTCTCGCAGAGTTATTTGCAACCTTTTCCGGCAAGTTTCGCAGAACCTTCTTTTATTATTTAGTAGCTTCATAAAGTTCAACCTCGCAGCTTTTATACAACTCGTCATGTAGAATCGTAAGAAAGCGGCAAGCACCTTAAGTTCTTCCTCGAAAAGCTGAAACGCAGCGACCCACTTAATATGCGTCCCCTTTTCTAACTCTCTCTCTTTCTCTCTTGCTCTTAGCGGAAAAACGTTTTAAACTAGAAACTTACACTCGTCGCTCCTTCTCACTTCATCTCGCTCTCTCCATCTCTGTCTGGGTGTTGTGGCATCTTTGTGGTATAAAAATAAAGATTAATGTGAGTTCTTCACAAAGTAGCACACTCTGGCTCTGGCGACAGCATACTGGCTGAGAAGAAAAAAATATTCTCTTAGTGAATTTTATATAATACCTGTGTTAGCTAATACCATGATCATCATTTCGTATGAACTGCAGCTAATACCCTGGCAGCTGGTAATTAAATATCTACAAGAGCCAGTAGGAACTTCTATTATGTCTGATTCTTTTATCGAAATACCCCAGGTAAACTTCAGTGAGAGCTGAAGAATTTAAATTCAAAATTTAAATAAATTATTGTACATATGCCAGGGTATTTAATTTACAGCACTCCCAGGCTAACAATTCGTTCTAGTTTACCTTGTTTCTTAGCCGCTCTCACACTGCCTCTCCCTCTCTTTCTTTGTGTGTGTAATGCACCTCGCTTTGGTATGCCTTGAATGAGACTCATTTTTACAAAAAACCGGGCCGCCACAAACAGCACCAGCAGCGGGAGAAGGAGAAGGAGCAGCAGCAGGAGCAGGAGCAGGAGCAGGAGCAGGAGAGAGTGAGCTAAGACCAAAGCGCCGAGTTGCCGGCACTTGACTTGAAATTTTTCTAGCTCAAAGCTGAATAAAACAGCATCGTCCTTTTCGCCTTTCCTGTCGTTCTAAAAGCATGCAATTGCGTGAATGGAGCCTACCAACAACAACAACTACAACAAAAACCACAACAACAACAACGACGACGACGGCGGCGACGACGACTTATGAGCTCTGCGGCTTGCCACTGTGTACAATTTCAAAGTACTATTTTTGCGTTTCACCGAAAAAATGCGGCCCCAACAAACATTCTAGATAAAAGAAGAAGAAGAAGAAGAAGCAGCAGAGCTTAGAAGGGAGCCGCGCGGCATGTGACGGAGCAGAGGAAAACGATTTTGTCGTCAACGAAAGCTTATCATCAGCATCCTATCGCTAGCTCACATTTATTCGCTACTCAGCTGTACCCAATTCCTAATACGCTGCCAAAGGGCGAAAGAGAGTGGATTGGTTTAGTCGTCTAACAGGCCGAAAGAAAAGATTTCTTTGGCTATTTATTTTACTCAAATAATTATTAGTTTCCCTGATTATTTAATTTATATTGAAAACAATCAGATTTTCTTTATTTCATTTTAGCAATCTAAGCAGCTAAGCTCGTAATCTATTATTACAGAGTATCTTATAGTCTCTAACTCGAGCCTAGCTATAGGATTTCTGCTTTGAAAAATGCTTATTCCGTTGATATTAGATGTGACCCAGCCAGCCAGCATATATACCATGCTTCGTCGCATTTTTAATTAAGCCTCGTTTTTATTTCTATTTACATTTGCTTTTTACTCAAACTGTTTGTAAACAAAATACAAAATGCAAAGCAGCAACAACAAAAACAACAATACAATGTAAAGAAACAAACAAAATGGTTTAACAGCCTCCTTCAAATCTTTTCGCTGTGGCAACAATTTTTTTTTATTTGTGTGTTTTTTTTTTTAATTTCACTTTTATTATTTCTATATCTTCAACTTTGCTCATAAAAAGCCAAAACAAAACACAAGAGCAAAAAAAATACAAAAAACCTATATATATATTTGGTAAAGAAGTATTTCGGACAAATCCACTTCAGCTCTTACAGATCAGGGAAACCTTCCTATTTTTTTTAAGGTCATTTCATACTGGCATAAGGTATTTTAATTTTACTTCGAGAAGCGTAACATATTTAGCATAGACATACATATATACTTTTTATTAGTATTTGTAGATGAACTGCTGAAACCAGACTGAGAGACTATGCTTTAAAGGGTTTAAATTATAAAATACCTATAACTATAATAAAACTGCTTTGGCTTATTTCTGTTTTTTTATTTTTTTATTAAATATTAAAGTAGTTTATTACTCTATTAAATATATACAAAATGTAAAAAATACATAATATTTTAAATATATTTCTAATATATTTTTACGCATTTTTCCTCAAATATTTCTAATGTTCTGCAACAGTTCAGACTAACTTATCATACGACTCTTATGGGATCATATCTTTGCTAATCAAATTATTATTCTCTGCCCATATTTCATATTTTTTCATTCATTTTTTAAGCAATTCGCAGTGAATTCTGCAGTCGTTTTGCGTAACTCTTTCTTTCTCCTTTCACAGTCGCATTCCATTTCGTGTTTCCCATTCCCCATTCTATTTATTTTGTAGGTAAGCATTTTTACATTTTCCTGTTAACATAAGCAATTTTCACATGGTTTATATTTTTTTTTATGGTAAATAGAAATTTATAAGTGGCATCTATATATCATTTGTAAGCTAGATTTGTGCGCGGGAAGCGCACAGAAAGGCAAAGGCAAAACCTCTCGAGATTGGTTAAGCGAATTCACAAACAGCAAACAACTCTTCAGAGCAAACAACTTTGTTCTGAAGAGCCTCGTTGGAGTAGCTTCATAAATATTACTCACTGCTTCAATTCGTTGAGGGCTAATGTAAAAGAACAAAATAAATATGTATGTATATGCCATGGGTAATATCGATGAGTGGCACAGTATTTTTATATAAATTTAATTGTGGGCTTTATTGTCATGAATATTCGTAGTTGTGATTCAAATGGAAATGAACGAATTATAATAAAAATATTGATGTATATATAGAAATTAGGTAACTACTTGGAAATTTGTATTTGTATAAAGTATTTTTGTTTTTCTTCGAGTTCCATTGAAATAATCATTATTAGTTCTGAAGAACTCTCTTTATCTATCCCTCTCTCTCCCTCTCATCAGTCCTACATTTCATTTGCTGTTTTGTTAAGAAATGTGCTTGAATCTCTCTCTCATTCTTCAGTTTGTTGTATATTGTTATTGTTATTAGCCTATTTCTTGGTATTACATAATTTCGTTTTTGAAGAAGACTTTTAGATTTATTCTTCAGTTAAGTCTAAGCAACATTATAATACACAAGCCTGTGATTAGGTCACATAACAGACTCCTCCAATTATTGCTAAGCTCTGATTGAAGTAAATAAAAGAAAAAAGTAGAATATAATATTTTAATATAATAATACATGAATATAATGTAATTTTAAAAACACAATAATTAATTCATTATTTATTCATTTGCTCTTCCTCATTTGCGTAGCAATCGCTGATGTAGTTCGTAAACTGCAAGCAGCTAAAGGAAAACGGAATACAACTTAATATCCAGAGCCACAAGACGGAAGAAGAATTTTTTGTAAAATGCTAATGAAAACAGCAAAAATGTGCATCTTAACATTTGTATTTGTTTGCGCTGTTTGGGAAACTGCAACAGCAACGCCCACGGCAACGCCCCCAGTAATAACAACAGTAACACCAACAGCAGCAACACCAACAGCAACAGCCACAGCAACTTTAACCATAACAAATGACTCGCACAGCAGCCACGGCACCAATGTGGTCAGCGCTTCAGCTATGGATCGAAGCGAAGGAGTAGCGAAAACTTTATCGGAAATACAAATTGGAATTGTGGGAGCTTTGGCCACCTCAACCACGACGTCAACGGCCATGCCCACCACGACGACAGCAACAGCAGCAGCGGAGGCCGCAACAGCAACAGCAACAGCAACTGCAGCAGCAGCAGCAGCAGCAACTACAGCTGCAACAGCAACGCCAGCAACACCAGCAACAACAACAACAACAACAACAACAACAGCAACACCAGCAACATCCATTTCAAACGGAAATGAAGCAGGCAGACAAATCAGCAATTTTGAGGCTGCAACCACGACCATGGACGGGTATGCAAAGGCTGACAAAGAAATCTCGACAACGGAAGCTACAGCCGCCACTGTGGCGGATGGGTTAATGACGACAAACGTGCCGCCGCTTGCATCGCTGGGCAGCATTTTCGACAGGCTGTATCGCATTAAGGAGAGCTCTGATATCAGCTCCTCGGCTACACCGCTGGATATGCAAATGCAGGCAGCTGAGTCGTATCAGGTGGCCGAAACCCTGGCCGATCTCAACGAGGAGGAGCGTTCGCGCTACGGCGCTATGTTGGGCCAGCAGCCAGCGAGCCAAAGTAAGCTAAATATTGTGGATTTGTATCCGGTGCAGCTGGAGGATTTTCAGCCTGTGGTACGCACGGATAATGTAGAGCTGTCCAAGGAGCGTACGGTGTTCATAGAGCCGGAGAATGCTGAACAGTATCGGCAGAATCTAATGCCCAACGAGGTGGCTGACTTTGGCTCCAGCTACAATCCGGCAACAACAATGAAGACGGCAACGACTCCCAATGTGGCCACCACGTCGAGCTATTTCACTGGCAAGCTGCTGGCCGAACAAGATGATTTGATAACCGAAATCGAGCGAAAGTTCCAATTAGAGGAAACAACAACAGCTGCGCCACCGACAAGCACCAGCAGCCCTCGACGGACAGAGCTGCCTCAACTGCAGCCGGGGGATACGTACATAGATCGGCGCGTCAAGAAGAGCTTCGAATTTCCAATGCAGCAACGGGCTAGCGATGTGATGGCCCTGCCGCACATTGACTTTGCCAATACCAAGTTCAATACTGATGCGAGTGACGGCCGACAGGTCAGGATAACAACAGCAGGAGGAGCGGCAGGAGTTGTGGCGGGAGCTGGAACAGCCGCTGCCGGCGGGCCCACACATCCAGAGTTCTCGACCACAAAGTTTTACAACAGTAAAGAGTTGTACAACGAAATGTTGTTGCATAATAAACGAAAGTTAATGAATGAAATTGGGTATGCGACAGCAGCTCCAATCGAGACAGCGAGCAGCATTATAAAGTCATCAGAGACCATGGTTGGACAAAGTTCAGAGCAGCAGCCACGTCAAGTCATTAGACCAAGCGAAACCACAAACTTGGAACTAAGCAGCTCAACGGAGTCTACAGCGACTACTACCCGGGCCTTGCCTCCTGGCAGACGCGTGACTTTGACGTCTACGGCGCAAACTTTTGATGGGGCCACAGCAGAGGCGCCAACAACAACAACAACAACAACAACAATAAGTAAATTGTCTACTATGAGACCCATTAAGGCGGGGCAAGAGCTAAATCGCGCTAAGTTATTGTTGAAGACTTTAACCCCGCCCGATGCCGTCGAACCGCAATCGGAAAAGCTTGAAGTGGTCTCAGCGAAAATCAAAATTACAACAACGGCTGCAAAGCAGAGTCCAGCTGACATGGAAAAATCAAGCCAGTTGGCTAATCTTACAAAATCGTCCTTAAAGCCAATTGCTGTGCCGCGCATTTTAAGTCGCCTCCAGGAGAAAATCAATTCACTTGAATGCGACATACAAAATGTGCCGCAGGATTCGCATTTGTGGCGTGGAAACGAAACGCACGAGCTTCTCCTGCCAAATGTGGTAAGTTCCGACAGCAACAACAACAAAAATCTATATACAACAAGACAGATAGGGAGAGGGAGGGAATGGGCTGGCTCTGCTGGTGGGAGCAAGTGAGACAGCTAGAGATTAAGAGATATAAAGCTTTAAGGCTTTGTATATTGTTTCTCGAAAACAATTGAAACGTATTTAGCTCTTAACATTGGCAACCACAAAGACGTATTATGAGTAAAAACTCCGGCTCAATAGAGATAATTCAATTCAGTTCACTTGAAGAACCACATACGTTAATTCATTTAGTTCTCTTCTGCAGTGTCTAAACAATTAGTTCATTAGGGATTAACATAATGTAGCCATTAAATAGTAATTTGTATTCAGAGTGTGGGAAACGCTACGATTAGGCAGAGAGTCTAATAGAGGCTGATGACTGAAGTCGAGTCGAGTCGAGTCGAATGCGAACTAGTTGGAAGAGGATGCTCACTCCCTATTTAATATTAATATACAATATATTTAACAAGATACATATTATGAAAATCTATATTAGTTATTCACATATAAAAATATAAAAATTTGAAAATATAAAAATATATAAAAAACAAAAAAAAATATATATAAATATAATTTGAAAAATATTTATAAACTACATAAATCATATACTAACATTCCTCAAGCAATATCTATAAATTGCATAAAATATATGTATATTATATATCATTATGCAGCTGCCGTATTTTTTTAAACATCTGGCTTTTAGCTAGTCAAAATGCATTGAGTATAAAATATATTCTGTATAAAAATTGATAATGCTCAAATTTGACTATATTCCAAAGGCTACAGTATTTATATACAATATATTTCTATGTATTTTGAGTAGCATAGAATTTGTCAGTATGTCCCATTCATTACAAACAGCATTGGAAACTAATTCCCTCGACTAAATTACACACAAGGCGATCCAATACAAACATTCTTAATATATAATATTGTTTATTATTAAAAATGTTCATAAAAATCTGTTGAGATTGGAATATAATTTCTATAGGCCTCACAGCTGCTGTTTAAGAATTTGTATAAAATTCTATATTACATTTTTATTATTATTATTTGTTGATGCCTCTGGCAATGGCTTTAGTTGTCAATTTAGATGATAAAACCCTTCAAGAAGTCAAATAAAACATTCCATTTGTATTCAATTAATTTTACAAAAGGTGCTTACGAATTCTGACCCAAAATTTATTTGTTCATTTGCAATTCCGTTTTTTCATCAGCTCTTCTTAAGCAATGAATGTTTTCTTTTTTGAATAGCTAGCATACCTTTATTTTCCTTTTTCTTTTAATGACTCAAAAGGTCAACTTAAAATTCAATGTGCTTTGCTGCAAACCCTTGCCAAGCTTTGCATTAGGTTGCTTTCACTCGCTCTGCACTCTCTATTGCAGGTGTAATTAAAGGCTTGGTAAAAGTTTTCTTTTAAGTTTGGATTAGTGACTCTTAGACGGCAAATTGGGAAGCAGCGTAATTGCATGAGTTGATCCAGAGAGGAGATCACCAGAAAATCAGCTGTCCTTAAAGGCTTAAACTATTTGAATGTTTTCTCAAAACTGCGCTTGGCAGAGTCTAGACTCTGCCATAGGAGAATATATATAATATGAAACAATAATGATAAAAAGGAAATTTTATGTTTTCCCTATGTCACCAGCAGATGAAAAGAAAATTCAAATATTGTGGAACTGTGCTTATATAACAGCATTTGGCACCTTCGACGCTATAAACAGCTCGAATTGCCAAGTTCTCTTGTCTGCTCGTAAATCTATCAGCATAGCCTTCACTTTCCCGTAGCAGCGAGTGCTAGCATGGGTGTGTGTGTGTGTGTGTGTGTGTGTGTGTGTGTGTGTGTGTGTGTGTGTGTGTGTGTGTGTGTGTGTGTGTGTGTGTGTGTGTGTGTGTGTGTGTGTGTGTGTGTGTGTGTGTGTGTGTGTGTGTGTGTGTGTGTGTGTTGGCAGCCAGATACAGGAGTACTAAGTAAAAGTGCGCAAAATAATAAATAAACATATAAAAAAATATTTTTACGATTTTTTCAACTTTACATCACGCTGCCAGGACAGCGCTGTATACACCTATAAATATATACGTATATATCTTGTACTTTTATGGGAATGTAACATATAAATTTATATAAATATTTATAACAATATATATATATTCATATGTGTGTACAGTCTCACAGTACACAGTAATTTTTATGCCAGACTTTTAGTTTGTCATATAATACAATAAAAATGCAAATATTAGTTAGAAATGATTTTTTTAAATCGTTCAAACTCTGCAAAGTATACTTATTCAAATTATAGAAAAAAAAATAAAATAAAATAATAATAATAATAACAATAATAATAAAGGCAAATTGTTATTCCTCATTCAACTGATTTCAATCAATATATTTTATTTATTTATTATATTTTCTGTATATATGTATTTTAAATACATATCACCTTCAGGCAAACTTCAGTTTATCTCAATTTGAATTATGTTGCTCACCCTTAACATAAATTGTCTTGAAAAAATTCTTATCAAATGCATTGATAAGCTGTTAAAACGCAATTTCTCTTGCTCCCCTCGGTGTTTCTTTTATACCGATGGAGAGGTGAACATAAAATCAATTTTGTGCAACGTTATTGGCCTGAAATTAAACGAGAAAATAAACTATAAAGAAACACAAATAAATGAACAAACGATTAATGGTAATGAAACCTCCCTGTGGACACTCACAAAAGCCAATAAAGAGACAAAGATGAACAGAGATAGAGACAGTGACTGCGTCAGAGATGGAGATAGAAAACAATTTAACATTGGATAAATGGCAGCTGGAGGATAGCTCTAAATAAGAAAAGGAGTTAAAAGAATTCCAAAAAATATATGTATTTGTTTATATATATTTAAATTGTTGTCTAGGGATAGGCGAATGAGTGTTTTGCTGTTGAAAGTCCTGCCTGGACAGGACTCGGCCATGTTAGTATGTGTGTCATAGCAAATGACTTGATTTACGAGCACATAAAAAGGGGAAATGCAAAGTGGGCAGGCGCTGAACATAGCAGGCCCTTTTCGATACACTGCACGGCAAATGCAAAGCGAGTATATTGGCTGGAGACAACAATCTATGAACATGCCAAACTTTTGCCACAGAATAGCTCGCTGACTGCAAACAGAGTATTGCCGAGTCGTTCACATTAGTTTCTTGCATATTTCTTTAGTTTTAGCAAATGTGACCTAATATATGATAATGAAACTACATTATTTTGTTTGTCAGTAGCCCACTTTTATCACATATTCAGGCAAGTTTTTCGTCAGCTTCCTTCCCTACGTATTTCCGTTAAGCTTTCCGTTTAGAGTTCCTTCCGTGTAACAGATGTGTAGCCAACTAATCAATAAGTTATCTCAGTAAGCCTTGGCTCGCATTGATGCTGCTGCCGCTGACTGGATAACTTTCCATAGCATTAAATTTGTTGGGTTCATTTGAGAATGTCAAATGTGTTGGCTTATTTTCTGTCTGAGTGAGTGACTATCCCATTGGCAAATGGTTTTGTTGTCCATATCGTTTGATTGTTACGCCCGATTGGATTACACTAACTTGCTATTGTTGCTGTTATTGCTTTTGTTGCTATTGTTATAGTTTATTTTGAGGTAAGCTGTTTTCAATGCATTTTGCTGTTCACATGCAGCATCCTCCATCCGCATTTTGAGTTATGTAAGTGCAACCAACGGTTTAGCCACCAAAAAATAACAGGTAATCGGCTTATCATCTTTTTTTTTCTGTAGCCTGGGGGATTTATTGGCCTAAATCGCTGAAACATTTTGTAATTTATTTTATTTTGTATATCGCTGAAAATGGATTATTTTGGTTAAATTGGTGTAAACATTTATATAAAATCTACTGTCGTATCACTTGCAGCTTCAATTTGCATTATTTTGTATACTTTTGTATACTACAACTATGAATATTCAGTTCGATAAAATCAATATGAAAAATTGTATAACAATAAATGTATTACTTATTTGTATTCATACATTGTATACATGCTTTATTTTGTTATCTGTATTCTTCTATGTAGTCAGTTAGATTCAGTCAATAGTAGTAGTAGTTGTGCCTAGTCAAACACTCTCAACTTCGGATGGGATATGTGTAAAAGTAATTGAATTTTTGTTAACTGCCTTTTGGCATTTACATTAAAGTAAAAGTGCAACATTTACTTTCATAGTTTTCAAGCTAGATAAAAACAAAATATGTAAATACAAATATTTATAAAATATTTGTATACGAAGCGTGCTATTAAAATGCTTCGAATTTTAACACAGAGAAATTCCGTCGGAAGTATTTAAATAAAAAGTAACTGAACTAAATGAACACAATATTTCAGACGTGACCCTTTTCGACAACCACAAACCGCAACTGTTATCCTGTATATGTTGTTGAGAGGGCATATTGACTATGAATAAGTAAATTGATATAGTATAGATATAGTTAAGAGGAAGGGTCAAGCTGATCTTAGATTGCTTCTATATACAAAATATAGTTATATACTGTATATATTTGATATATATGGAACTTATTTTAAATACCGTTGAATTCTTATTCAGTAGTAGTTTTTTTTTAATAAGATTTTCTATTTCTAAGTAAAATTCTGATTACAGGATTACAGGATATCTCCTAGTCCGCCAAGTTAGACCCTCTGCTCTCAGTCACATTTGTCTTGTAACTAATTTTATTTTGCTTATAGACTGCAGTTTGTTTGCTTGGATTAACTCAAACTAATAAAAACTGTATACAGTGAGTGGATCTATGTATGTGTACGCAGCTGGCTTATGCTATAAACGTGGCTTGTATATATACCATACGGTGGACTTAAGCTGAAATCCTCACTAGAATAAATGAACCTTTGACAAAGTTTATTAGGCCTCGGGTTGGATGGGTCAATATGCAAATTTTCTGGGCTAGGCGATGTAAAGGGGAATTGCGACAAGAACTTAAATTATTAAATTATTCAGTTAAACAAGTTTGGGTTTATTTTGCGCTACTCTTTTTTCAGTTTTTGTTTTTTTTTTTGTTTTTGTTGAGCTTGACATGCTTTGCGGCATTGCCCAAAATGGCAAACCTTTTAGTCCCTTTTGACTGTTTATTTTTACAGGAAAAACACATTTGCGGCTTTTATTTTAAGCCTTAACTTGTGCCAAAATAATTTCATAATTCTTCTCTTCCAGACACCGCAGCACTGCGAACCCGACGAGCCCTGTACTCCTAATAAGCTGACGTGGGAGGGCGAAGCTGATATTCAATCCGGGGACATTTTAATTGTGGAAATTAACGATGCCAAACTGAGCACGGAAAGAGTGCAGGACAACATTAAAAGGTAGATTTCATGTACCTGAGAGTGGAGTAAGTTCGAATAATACTCGAACAGATTTTTTGTTGGCTATGCGAATGATTGACATTTATTTCATTATAATATCATTTAGCCAAGCATAAAGCCAGGCAGACCTCGCATAAGCCACGTCTGATCTGATCTAGGTCTAGGTCTAGTCCTTCGTCAAATTGGGTAATATTTTTTAATACGTCTGGCTAAATTCCAAGAATTTTCTGCTAGGCTCACAGCGAATTGGGGGGCACAAATGAATATTTTAATAAATTTCGGTGATTACTGAAGCGTGAACGAGTATTACGCAGTTGGTTGGGTTCGATTGCAATCAGCTTACTTCATTTTTAAGCTCTTAATTTGCTTTATGCGAATCCGAGGCGATAAAAATATTGAGTAATTGCAGATATTTTGTTGTGGGAGTTGCTCGCGCAAATTATCCTTCAATTGTGGAAATATGTTACGAGTTTTAAGCCTCTCGCAGAGACATAAAGAGAGAATGCGGTAAACTCATCTCTTGAATACGTTCCTAGTTTATTAAGTTATGAATCCAACAGCTTCTCAGTAGCCCACAGCTATCAAGTAAAATGCTTGCTTTATATATATATATATATGCTTTATATATATATATAATATATATATAATGCTGCTGCAGCAGACGGCGCAATGCCCGTAAGCCAAATTTCTTATAAGAAAACAAAAAAGAAATTTCGCTCTCAGTAAAATTACGGTTGAGCTCAGTGTTTTAAGCATGACCTTTAAAATTGATAAGAATCTACTGCGGGCCCAGTTTCATCTCCATTTAAGTCACTTTTCTGCTGGTTAGGACGTGTTTGTTCAGTTCGTTTCGGTAAGATTCGGTTCTGGTCTGCCCTGTTCTGTTCTGCTTAATATATAATAACATACATTAGGAGCTTTTTATTGATTTTACTTCAGCACGTTTGCACAAGGGCGCACTACATGTTTAGTTGAGTCAAATCCTGGAAAACCCTTCGAGCTATGCACAGGTCACTATTTCATGTGACTCACGTACTGCCATCGGAATGCCCTTTTTACAGTTTATTAAATTGTTTTTATTTTTTGCCCACATTCTCTCATATAAATGTATTATATACATGCAAGTATATAAGCTATATATATAAATTCTGATATACATACGTACATCACGTATTTTTGGCTTGCTTACCATGTTTCCATGTATATGTATGTATATATGTTTATATTGCTATTTTTGTTTATTTTATAGCTGGTAAAATCTCTTACAAAATGCGCATATTTATGCCGAGCGGGCGCTTTTCTAGTTCGCGATTCTTTCCGCTGGCCATTAGTCATTTTGCGGGTCACAAATTCCGTTTATTCAGAGTCAGATAAAAAATGAAGAAGCAGCTGACCCTTTTGCCCTAAAGAGCTGTGGCAATTATCACGTAGCCATTGCCAGCACTTTTTTTTATCTATCTATATACATACATATATATTTTTATCTGATACTCTTTGCCACAACTAGCAAGTCTGGTTTAAGCAGCTTCATGATATGATATATATGTGTTTATATACATGCTTCTCTGATACTCTGAACTGGCAGGTTAGGATTAAAGTTGAGTGTCCTAATACGCACAAATGAATTCTAGTAAATAAATAGTGCGAGACAGTACGTGGCTTGCGACCCAGCTTCATCCACATAACATAATGAAGTGACATTTACTTAGCTCCTTTAGCTTTGCTGGATGGGCTTTACAGCAGAATGTCCAGATGACTTCTCAAGCTGTTCTTAAATGCAGCTGTTGAGTTTTTTAAGCTATATATGAATCCCCTTCAGGATATTATTTAATTATCCTTTAGCCACAATTTTCAAATTCGTCAAGCATACAAACGATATTAATTAAATGGCAAATATTTCTATTACTTAATTTCATAGATAACTTAAACAGCTGCCGCAATATAGTAATTAAAAAAAAAAAAAAAAAAAATAGTATCACTTCTGTTACTCACTCATTTTTATCAATTATTATGCAATGTCTTTTTTTTTATAATAAACTCTATTGTTGTACTTTAAATACAAGTTTTATAATTAAATTTAAAATTCATTGTAACTTCTGATGGTGCTTCAGAGTCAACTTTTCTGTATTATCCATCTGCTGACAATATATCCCAAGCACTGCTTATTGTGTGAAAATTTAAAAAGTTATGGCCATCAAAAATGAAGCAGAAGATGAAGAATAAGAAGAAGAAGCAGATGATGGAAATAAAACAAAAAACGCAGCTCGCATAAAAAAAGTTACAAATTATGAAAATGAGATGTCAAAAAAGTTTTTATTATTGATTTCATGCATGTGCGTTTGTGTGCGCGTGTGTGTTTGTTTGTCTGTGTGCTTAAAGGACGAAAAGGACCCCAGCCAACAACAAATTGGCAACAAATCATACTCTGAGCGCAACGCAAGTGAGTCTCAAATAGATTGCGTTGCGTTGAAAGTGAAAACTTTCTTTGAGCTCTGACTGCAATTTGCTCCTGTCGATAATATCACATGAAATTGTTACAAAATACTTTAAACGATCCATTCCCTTGACTGTGCATCCCAGTTTACGCTTAAGCTGAAATCTTAAATTCCACAACGTTATGAGTAGGTCAAGCGACGTTTGGTCTAATACTGGAGTGAAAATTGCAAAAATTATTTTTGAGATTTGCGAATTTATATTATTTTCCTTGTCCGTCTGCAGCGTCTGCCTAAAGTGTTGATCCGGAAATGTCAATAAATAAAAAAATTAAATTATTTGCATTTTATTTTCGTTAATTATCTTTGTCGTTAATTATCATATGCTGTATTATTTGTGTTTATTATTATAAATCTGTATGAATATTACAAATAAAATATTATTTATTTCAACATTTATACTGGAAAATAATATTTTTTTTTTTTTTTTTTTTTTTTAATTAAGCTGTATATTTTATTTGTATTTATTTATTTATTTTTTTACTGAATTAATTTACTTTATTTTGAATTTAAAAAAAATTTTCTATATGCTTTTGTATTCACCAATTCTTGAATGAATTAAATCTTTAAATATTAAACATCTCTTTGAATTAAAAAAAATACTTATTTTCATTTTATTTAGTGGTCTACTAAATTTTCTTTCATATTTCTATTTGTATACTCTTGAATAAATTAATTTTTTGGTCTACTAGTTGAGTAACTTTGCCGTAGTACCGCAGCTGCTCATAAATAATTGCGTGCTAATTTAATTTCCGCTTGTGCTATTTAATTTCCGACAACAAAGTGGGCAGCAATGCTTATAAATAATATCAATTAATTAAGTACACAGTGCAATGAGACAACACGAAATGCTTGGGAACCCAGCCATATTTGTAGCTTTAACTTTCCGCTACCAACAGTCCCTCTCAATCTCCATATCGTTCTCTTTCTCTTTATCCCTTTTCCACTACATTGCTGAACGCTGTGCCACCTCATCTCATCGACTCGGGCGAATCAGCCAAAGCGCTGCGCATGCTGCACAGGTCTATCAGGTAACTCGTTCCGGGCACGAGCATTGCGATGTCACCGAGGGCGTACTACTGGATATAACGCCTCTGGTGGTCGACGGCAGGAAGCTGGTTACGCTCTACGATAAGGACCTCACGGAGGGAGTTAACTTGTTAATTGGTAGGTAGACTACACCTTAAAATGTTTATTAATGTGCACAGGCAATACACTCACTTTTACATTGTATTTACACATAGAGTCACTCTCTATTTGGTAGGCGTTGGCTCTGTCTATGTCATAAGCATTGAGTAGCATTTTAGTTAGTTCATTTCTTACAAAATAATTAATTAAAGATAGATGTAATATATTTTTTTCAATTTCAATTTCAATTTATTTCACTCTTTATTATAACTACATGATTTTTTGAATGGTATGTTACAATATTTTAAGAGTTTAGGCTTTACAGACATATAACATATGGATATGGGATAACATTATTATTTGGGGAAAAGATGTAATATATGAATTCAAATTAATTAAAGAAATATAAAAAATAGGCTATGCATATTTAATGAATATTAAATATAAATATAAATGTGTCATAAAATTTGAATAATTGAAATCTATTTAATGATATTATTTTATTTGAATATTGGCAAAATTTAAAAAAATAAAATAGATATATTTTTAAATTTGACAGTAACCCAAAAAAAAAAAAAAAAAAAACAAAAAAGAAGTTAAAATTGAATATAATATGTATATACTGAAACTATTTCGATATTTATTTTAATTTTCATATTTAATTTAGTTAATTTATATAAAATGATTGCCGTTTTAATAACATTTATTAACATACAAAATGTAAATTTAATACTTTAATTATAATTAATTTCAATTTGATTTATTTAAAAATTCAATTAACATATATACTAAAATAAATAAATATTAATAATATTAATAGCTTTAACATAATAAATATGAATAAAGATATAAAAAAATATATATTTAATTTATTTAAATATTTAAGTAAAATAAAAATAAACCAATACTAAAATTCTATTTTTCTGCTTACATTTAAGTTTAATATTTGATTGTTTCACATATAGTATTCTAAGATATTAATAAGCTTTGACATCTCTCCTAATTAATTAGTTAGAGCACCAATGTTTCGCCTGTCATTTCAGTTTCAGTTTTGATATTTAACTTTTACGTTGTCTTAGGGGCCACATTCTTTTCTTTTTTTGCCTAGACCAACTTTAATTAATTTCAACCCTTTTTTTTTCCTCTTCTTCTCTTTTTTTATGCTTTTAGTGGTGTCCGAGCTGTGGGGAGAGCAGTGTGTACGCCTAAAGGTGACCACAAAAACCGACAATTGTGGCGAGAATGCCGATTGCTCCGGCAAGGGCGTCTGCTATTCGAACGCCATGATGGAGGAGTATGAGTGCCAGTGCTGCGGCGGTTTTGCGGGTCCACATTGTGAGGAAATTGATGCCTGCAACCCCAGTCCGTGCACCAACAATGGCATCTGTGTGGACCTCTCGCAGGGCCATGAGGGCAACTCGTATCAGTGCCTGTGCCCGTACGGTAAGCTCATTAACAATAGCGAATTACCACCTCTCATTAGCAGTGATGTATGCTAATTTTGCCGATATTACATCTTTTGTCTCCGTTCCAGGCTATGCGGGCAAGAACTGTCAATATGAGTCGGACCTGTGCAATCCAGCCGAGTGCATGAATGGCGGCAGCTGCCTCGGCAACTCAACGCACTTTCGGTAAGTGAAGCCAATTCTCTGTCAGGCCTCCTGCTGCGTAGCCAACTCCAGATGCCCAAATGTTGACATGTTGACAATTGAAATTTGATCTACTAAGCAATTTCATGAAAGGTGTTCAACTCAGAAAGTGTATATATGTATATCTAGTATATAATAGAAATTTATTTTAGTCATAGTATCTAATTACTATGTGAGACAGTTTTCATTTCACCTTCATTTTGATGAATAACTGGAGGTAGAAAAATATATTTTTGGCATCAATTAAAAACAAAAAATAAAGTGCAAATTTAACTTAAAGTTTAAAATTTTTTTTTTTTTTAATTATCCTTTTCATTGAAATATAGTTTACGATAGGACTAGGACAACATTTTCAAAGTTATATCGCCGTTTACTGCCTGACTTTCAATTTTGCTTATTTAATGGATGCAATTTTATGCAAAATTAAAAGTGATTTTAAATAAACATTATCTAAGATATCTATATTCAGAAATCATTGAAAAGTTTGGGAGTTAGAGTTGCCAAAAAACTATTCTCTAGCTATCAACACATGATTGACAGTATATGAACATTAAGATATATGTATAAATGTATATATAATATCTACATATGAACTTTAAGAATTGTGTATAAATGTATATATCATTTCTACATAAATATTTTATAAATTTTAATTTTTTATTTTTATAAATTTAAAAAAAAATTTAATTTCAGAGGATTAAACAGCAACAAGTTAATAATAAATGTTATCTTTTTAATAATAAGAGTTTTTTGCACTTCAGCCTATCCAAACAAAGCTGCATATACTTACATTTATTTAAAGCTATACAAATGTAATATTTATTTAACTGAAAATTCACTAGATTTACCTTAACAAAACTCCCACTTATCACTAGTAACCCTTCTTCTTATATTTTTCTCAAGGATGTGCAAAATATAATATAAATTCTGCCCAAGTTTCTCCACGCAAACGCTTTAGCAGCATCTAAGTGTGCGGTTTCAACAACAACAACAACACCACGAAAAACAACAAAAACAACAAGAGCAGGAGCTAAAACGCAACTGCTTTAAAAATTCTTAAGCTCCTATGTCTGAGGTGTGGGTGGTTTTGGTGGTGCTGGTGGTTTACCAATTAGTGGGAAATAAACATTTTTACAACAAGAATGCGTTGTCAAGGCGAAAGTGCACGACTCTCAGATAATCTGAAGCTCGCCCTTAACTGCTGTTTAAAACATTCCCGTTACTTTTATACCATATACTTTTATACATAAACAGAATCGCAATCAGCGTTTGACTACATTTTTCCACTGAATAATTTCTGTGCCATTTGCTGTTTAATCTTAGGGAAATGTTCATGTTATGGGGCAATTGGAGTTTCAAACTGGGTTTATATACTAGAAAAAAGCTGCTTTAGAGCAGTGCATATATATTTACACATATTATAATGCTAAATATGTAAACATATTTGAATATTTATATAGATTCAAACTAAATATTTATATATACACTCCTCAGTCTCTATCACCTGCAGGTGTTTTCAGCAGCATCTTTATTTATGTATTTACTAATCAATATATTTTTGTATACATTTTCAGCTGCGATTGTGCACCTGGCTACACGGGCCCGCTCTGCCAGCACAGCCTAAACGAATGCGAGTCCTCGCCCTGTCTGCATGGCATTTGTGTGGATCAGGAAGATGGTTTTCGTTGCTTCTGTCAGCCAGGTAAGAATTCCTATTTATTTTTTAATTTATTGAAATTGTTAAATGAGATGGACAATGCTGCCTTATGAGCTAAAACATATCAAACCTATTCCCATAGGGCGCTATAAAGCTTCTCAGCTCTCAGCTTCATTGAAAATACTTGAGTAGCTGATGTGCATTTGTCTGTAGAGTAATACAATCAACAATGAGTCAAATTGAATTATTTACAACATGTATTGAGCATTAGCTGTGGAAATAGTTGGATGTTTGTTCAGGTTGCCAAGGGCATTGCAACGAGTATTGAGCTGCATGCAGCTGACAAATGCGAGCAAGCATGAACAGTACAGTCTGAGCTGATGCCTGTCAATATTTACAATGAATTCCAAACCATTCACCAGCCCAGTACTCTCCCTTAGACCTAAAGAGTTGGCTTGCAATTGAATTTATAGAACATATTTCAATATTGAATACGAATTCTATATTGCCTTTGTGAACAGACAGATTGACAATCCTTAAAATGTTATTTACTGTGCAAATTATATTCGCTAACAATTCTATTTATAAGCCTTACGAGCAGTAAAGAAAATGCATTCATTTTTATTGGCCCAGCCAGGTTGCTATGAAATGTAGCAATAAAATATGCACTAAAGCTTATAAATTATTTCATTGGCACAAACACAATTTGCACAAATCAAACTCGACAACAATGAAGGCGGGGAAAAAAAGGAGGAAGCGAAGAGAATGCGGAGGCAAGGCAGCACTGGGAATCAGGTCTGCAAAGTTGGCAACATCCATTTCGTTTGAAATTTCCATTTCATTTATTTTGCACATTAGCATTACATCTGACTAACTCACACTATCTCCATCTCTCTCTCTCTCTCTCTCTCGCTCTATGTATCTTTCTTTTTCTATGTCACTCTCTTGGCAGGCTTTGCGGGCGAGCTGTGCAACTTTGAATATAATGAATGCGAATCGAATCCATGTCAGAATAGCGGCGAATGTATCGATCACATCGGCAGCTATGAGTGTCGCTGCACAAAAGGTTACACGGGCAATCGTTGCCAAATAAAGGTGAGTGTCAAGGTGAGACTAAATCAAGTGACGGACAGCCACGGCTGCCAATGTGCAAAAAAACCTGTGAATATTACGTATTCGATGTTTCCTGTCTCTATGCACTTAACTAGAAATAAATATTTAATGTATTCGCATTTTTCTGTAAGGTGAGTGCTCACAGTGGGTTTTTGGTTTTGTTTTTTTTTTTCTACTTTCGACTTTATTATTCGAAAAGATTTGATGCGAGTCAATAAACTAAAGTAATATGCGCTTGAAAGCATATTTCACAACAGTTACAGCTTACTTAAAATTCAGCTAAATAATATTTAAAAATATGTAAATGTAAAATACGATGAAGTTAATCAACATATATATGTATATATGATGCTGCTCAGATTTAAACAGCCGTCGAGGCATAATAAAAACATTATTATACCAGAACAGAGCATAAGGCAGTCCGTGTAATCAACTTATAATACCATAGCGTAACAGGACAAACCAGATACAAATATTTGAATGCCAGATTATGGGCGCCTTTTCCTTGCGTGTCTCTTGAGTTTGGCATATTTGCATAAGCAAAAGTATAATCAAAAATAATTTTAATTTAAAATAATCTTCGAAACTCGACTGGCAGCCTCGTGACGAGCCCCTGGCTAGTTGTCAATGCAATGAAAATTGGTGAATTGTTGATTGAATTGAGCCGAGCTCACTTCTGGCTGTCTATATCAATAACAGAGAGTGGATAGATAGGTGGGGGTATGGGTTGGGGTTTATTATATTGTTGAATGTGTAATGAAGTCCAGCTTTTCAATATGCTCTTCGGTTGTGAGCTCTATTCTTATGAGTTTCATCTGTTTTAGGTTGATTTCTGCGCCAATAAGCCCTGTCCCGAAGGACATCGTTGTATTGATCATGGAAATGACTTCAGCTGTGAATGCCCAGGAGGTCGCAACGGACCGGATTGTAATCAAATGCCACGAACGGTGAGTCATGATTTATGCACTCGGCAGCCTGCGCTTGCTCTCTATCTCTGTCTCACTCTCGCGCACTCTGTCTTTGTGGAAATGGCTTCCTGCAAAGGCCAAACGTTTTCCTGTACGGCAAATAGGTGTCGGGAGTCTGGGAAGTATGCGTGTATGTGTGTGTATGTGTGTGGACTTATGTGTTTGTGTGTGTGTGCGTGGCAGTCGGAGATGCATAACAAAAAGCCCAAAATACCCACAATTTGCTGACAACAGATTGCCAAGCCACAGACTCGAATATATGTATGTACGTACATACATATGCATATACACATATATATATATACATATATCGTGTATATAGACACAGTTGAGCTGCGCACAATGCACAAATGCTTCGCTCGAATGCAACTTTGTAATTGTTGTTTTTGTTCAATTGCGAACATGTTAGATGTTTTGAGCTGTGCTTTGTGGATTTTATACTGATTTACGTCTTTAGATTGTTTTCACTTGTCTGAGTGCAACACAATGTATTGATAGTGCTTTGTTGGCCATTGTAATCCAATTAGCAAGTAATTCAAATTATTCGGATATAATATCCATGAAAGTCTTACAGATTTTTACAAATGACTTGCCAAGCTAATTGGCGTGAACTTCAAACTTGTTATATTATTTCTGTTTAAGCTATTGGAGTGCAGTTAATTTTCTTCGAATTGCACATGAAATATGTTGGATTTCTGTAAATTAGACTGGCGCTTTAGCATGTTGGAAGTGAAGCTGAAAGAACTTAATTGGCACAAGGCAAATGCTAAGCTTAAAATGGAAAAATATATAAATACTTTTGTTGAAGTGTTTTAAGTTTTAAATTTAATTTTAAGTAACTGAAACTGGCATGAATTTCTTTAAAGCCTTTTTATATTATTTCAATATTTTGAATTTATTAATTTATTTTTTACCAAGATTTAATCAGATAAATTCAGCTGAACTACAGCTTTGGTCATCTTTCTCTCAGAGTATTGTGATCAGGCGACAATCAAATTGTTAATGGAAGCAATTGGCCGAATTAGTGAATGAATCTGTTGACATTTTCGAAATTCTTTTAAATTATTGACAGAGGCTTTCAAACTTGAATTGCATTCAAAAATATATTTCAAAATGTTATTAATGCATGTACAAATTTGCTTAGAGGTGAGATAATATTCCATGATAGACTTATGGAGCTGACTTCAGCTTACTTTCTGCACACTCAGCCATCTTCCGTCCTGAGCTAGAATCCTTTGCAAACCATTTGATCATTTGAACATGGCAAGAAGACAAGAGAAGACTTGATTAAGCCACATTTCATTGAAGCCAACTGGAAGCACACTTCAGAATATTTAATAAACACTCAATGACTTGATAATTTTCGGTGGTAAAATTGAACTTAATAAAGTGTCCATAAATTAGGCGTCAGTATGGACCATAATTAAAGCTTTGCAGCGACGATGATGGACATGCTCTCTAACCGTGCCTGGGTGTGCGAAAACCAACTCCTGTGAGAGCTTCCTTCTTTTTTTTTGTTTTTTTTTGTTATATTTTTGGAGAGCAGACTCCACGTCAGCATCAGCAGCAGCATCAGCATCAGCAACAGCGACAGCAACAACGGAAGGAGCCTCGGTTGGTTAAGAGTGAGACAGAGAGAGGGAGAGCGAGAGGGCGAGAGGGCGAAACCTGTTTGCCAGCGGATATAGGGGGCAAGTGCTGATGGCCGTGCAGAAGCGCGAAGGACGCTTGGATGCCAGTCGCTGGCGAGTTAATTACTTTTTACTATGGCGCACAATTATGGGCGCGTGTAATATATTTAATATGCCAACAGCACACAGAACCTGCCCAATTAATTGTTAGTTACTATAGACCAAATATGTACATTTATGCGTAAGTTGGCGCGAGATAGACACACAGAGAGAGAGAGAGAGTGAGAGAGAGAGTGAGAGAGAGACAGATAGAGAGAGAGAAAAGGAGAAAGCACGAATCATAATCAAATGCCAACAACGAGCACAAACTTTCATTTAGTATTTTCAGCAATGTAGCGTGAATCCCTGCACCCATGGCGGCACCTGCTGGTCGAGCGGCGATAGCTTCTACTGTGCCTGTCGCCCCGGCTACACGGGCACTATGTGCGAGGGTAAGTGTTTGTCCACTCATATTATTAAGCTTAGCTTGCGGACTATCTAAGACATGCAGCCAGCCAGCCAGGCAGTCAGGCAGTCAGAGAACTAACCATTTATAATCATTTCTGTGGTCTGCAGATGAGTTTGTGGTGGAGACCGTCGTCAGTTCGAGCGAATTTATTGTCGACGACGCGAATGCCAGAAATTTTAATGACAAAACTTTTAGTTCATCGGTTGTGCTTAAAAGTCCCATTGAATTGCATAATGCATATTTTGCGGCTGGTGTTCTGGCGGCCGCAATTTTCATCGTTGCCATTGTGGTAAGTAAAACGCAAACACACACACACACACACACACACACACACACACACACACACACTTACTCCACCACTACACTCACAATCACACACACAGAAGGACGAACATGAACATGAACAAGGCCTGGTCATTGAGGAAATTGTACTTTGCGGTCTTGAGAGGTGGAATTGCATATTCATTTCCCTGTTTTAAGTTTCGAGGAATTTTTTTTGTTTTTTTGTTGTAACACAAAAGCCAAAAATCAACTGTCGCTTGTTTTTGGGGTTTTCCTTTTGCACTGCAGCTCAATCGAGTGGTCAAGCATATTCAAATTTATGCATACAGTATGCTGGCTTGGTTCTCTCTTTTTGAAAGAAGTCATCAAGATCTCTTAGTTTGGGCTTAAGCACATTTAACATCTGACATTTGGAATTACTCAACTGTTTTCGTTTGTAGCCTGCATTGTTGAACTAGCGGACGGAGAGGTAGTTCCCGAATTCCAGGGGATTGCAATTAGCTAAGCTAAGCTCTGTGCTCTCAGTTATAAACTAAAGATGATTAATGAAGGGAGAAATATAATAAAGTGTCATACTTGGAAATACTTCGTCCTTACTCAGCCCTCAGGTTAATTTAAATACTTAAGGGAGTTACTGTAGTTGCAAGAGTATGCCACTAGAAAATACCCTGTAGCCTGTGTTTGCTTTGGGTTTCAATATAAATACTAAATGAGTTCAAGCATGTGTGTAAAGGAAAATATCCTACTCTCAACTAAGAGCTTGGGATAAAAAGCAAGTTTAATTAGAAGTACAAAATGATTGATTTTGTATATGCAAGAGTAACCTTTTAGCAAATACCCTATATTTGGCCAAGAGCTTAAGATGAAGTTTGAAGAAATTCACATTAATCAAGAGAAATTCATTAATATCAAGGGGAATACAAATAATCAAGAGTGCCAGGCTAGAAAATTCCCTGCATGCAGCGAGCTCATAACTAAGGGAATTAATTTAATAAAGTGCCATACTAGAGAATACCCGGTACATAGTCAAGCCCCTGTGGGAAATTCACTAGTTACGTCTAGCCGTGACCTCAGCTTAGTTACTATAAGGAACTAAAAAGAGATCTACCCAACTAAGAATCACCCTCACATATACATACACATTGCTGGGTATCATTAGCATGTCTCCAGCATCCAGGGGACACAGCTGTGCTGGAACTGATTTATATTTGTGCATATATTTGCATTTTCATTGTTTTGGCTGTTTTCTCTTCTCGTTTTTCTCGTCTGTCAACTAGGTCACAATATGTCACTGCAACGTGAATCAAACGTACCGTAAGTTCTCGACGCGTTCCACTTCGTTTATACCCATATTGGGGTTCACTCGCCGGCCCAAGATGCAGAGCACACTCAATAAGCATTGGCTAAGTGGCAAGGCGCTCAATGATCCCGCTGCAGGGGCACAGCGTGACGCCAGCTTTGCGGCATCCAGCAGCAGCAGCAGCAATCTGGCGCAGCAGTCGACGCGCCATTTGTCCTCGAAACCAAATGGCAGCAGCCACCACACACAGACAACCCTCGGTGGCCAGCTGCACGAGAGGCCTTTCCAAAGGCATCTGGCCATGAATATGGAGAACGACATGTACTATACGGTGGACTTCAGTGAGAGCTCCTCACAGCAATTGCCGCTAATACAGTGAGAATTGCCTACAGCAACAGCCACTGGAACTGGAACTGGAACTGCAACTGGAACTGCAACTGGAACTGGAACTAGAACGGCTGCGGCCGACGACGATGATGTGCGCTGGTTAGTTAAATTTACGAAGAAGCTTCCAACACATTAGTAGAAATCGAAGCTCACTTCTTTGTGCTACTCTAGCAATAAAAGTTGCCAGTACTGACAATATGAACAGTATTGATATTATTAAATGGAAACATTAAAGTTGCGAATAAATAAAACTTTGACTTAGGCTAATATAATATGATAATTACATGATAATATCTGCTAAAACTGCTTGTGTAATTATTTTCTAACTGACTCAAATCGAGAAATACTCTGCATAGTCTACCGAAAAAGGGGAGTTTTGAGTTTGAGAATGCTTTGAGGCTACCCAAAATGCAAAATACGATTCAATTCACATCAGAGCGAGAGTTTTTAAAACAACTAAAATACTTAATATAATTTAGCACGTTTAATTTTTCTATATTGTAGAGCTGCTATTGAAACATTTTCATAAATTAATTTGCAAAATATGCTCATTAATATGCTCATTATAGCTGCTTATGTTTTTAGCACTGTTTCAATGGGCAAATAAATATTCAATTAAAATTAACCGCATTGATCAAATTTCATTATTTGTGTGCGAAATGAATAGAAAACAAACTAATATACAATTACACAGGCTAACAATTCTTTTTATTTTTTATTTTTATATTTATCATATCGAAATCGAATATGAAATGAGACTAATTCTATTTTATGAGACTTTTTACAGTTCGATCAAATTTTAAAGCTCATTCATATAGACAAATTTTTGTTAGAGAACAAACTATGCATATATACGAAGTTTCTGCTTTCCCCTCTAATAACTTTTCCAAAAAAATTTTTTTTCCATCAAGATATCACAAATTTCATCAAAAATCCATTTTTCGCGCACATCTCTGTTTCAGTAACATACAAAAATATTTTGTACAAAAAAACTACGGTAAAAAAAAAATATACAAAATATGCTGTACTGCTTCAGAGCCTCAAACGTGCTCAAAATTATTTTGGTTTTTGGTGCATTTGAGTGAAATATACCTATACATATATATGCATACTAATCTAATAGAAATCCATACCTTTTCGTTTCATATTCATGAGATGCAAAATCTATGTAAAGGTTTTTTGCTTTGGCTACCAAATCCTGTTGGCCTGTGTTAGGCTTTGTCACTCGGCAGAGATTATTGTAGCTAATTGTTGAGTCGCATGGAGAGCGGAATGTACATTAAATGGAAGCTAATGGCTAGCAGCATAAACATAAGCTCTAATTAAATATTAATTAACATAAATTAAAAACCATGCCAAAAATTGTTTGTTATTTTTGTTTGGTTTGCGGCTAATGCGTGTGTTTTGTCCATTTTTGTTAGCATAATAGCTCTGATTATACAAAAGTATATATATATTTGTGTGTGTGTATGTGTTGCTCTTAGTTACGTAGAGCATATTGTTGTAAATTTTCACTTTGTTCAAGAGTGGAAAACAAATGGCTTCAAAAATCAAATAAAACAATATTAAATTAAAGTTAAATGAAAATTTGTATGTTTCTGAAATGAAGTTCGCAAATATATACATACATATACATATAGGTATATATTTATATATACATGTGTGTAAGGTCTTGGATTCTCATATTTGTATTCTGACAGAGATGCAGCTTCAGCTAGATTAAAAATCATTGGAGAAATTTTCCTCTGCTTTTTCGTTAAAGAAATATCTTTTAAAAACAGGCTCAATTATTGAATAATAAAATTAAAGAAATTATATTCAATTCTGAAACTGTGACTTGAGCTGAATGTGGCACTCATCATAGTTCAAATGAAATTAATTTTAATGCAAACTAATTTAAAGTTAAAAAGAAAGTAATAATTATTAAAGAAACAAGAAACTACAAAAAAACAAAATCAAAAAATAATTGCAAATTTCTAAATAATAAGCAAATACATTAAACATATGTGTAAATTTAATTAAGGCAATAAAGTTTTTTCGTTCATAATTACAATTACAACTTAAGCAAAAATGCAAATAAATGATTTTCAAAGCAAAAATCCCGCTGGAAATTTTCATTACAATTGTAATTCTATTTTCGGTTTTTGGGTTTTTTAACAACATTTTCGTTTGTTTATTTTGCATAATTTATATAACATATTCGTAACAAATGTACAAACTAACAAATAAATTGTTTAACATTTTGTTGGTCCACAGAAGCGTTGTTGCATCTTTTGTTCAATTAGCGCCTATTTTATTATTGTGTTTGCATAATTTCAATTAGTTTGGTTTTTTTTTCCATTTAATATCACTCATACGCCCCGTAAAACGCATCAGCAGCTGAATGCAAGCTCTACTTCAGTTTGCATCCTCTTGCACACTGACTGATGCCGCTTTGGGAGCCAACTCCTCCGTACCGCCTGCTACAGTTGTTTTGGACGAATTTATTTCCGTTTCTTCGGGTATTACCTTGGGGCCCTCCTGATCCTGTATATTACGTAGTAAAATGGAAGAGAAAGGAGTGAGTTTGTAAGTAGGTAAATCATTGATATTTAACAAAAGCGCATGCCACATGCAATTTATATAAATATTTATATGCAGATATATTTACATATAAAATATAGTACATATATGGTAATATTTCAAGTATTGTCAGTTTTCATTCAAAAACAGTTATCAGGCCAGGCAAATAAAACCGTGTTAGATGTCAGTTGCTTGATTAGTAGATTTCATGGCATATTAGAAATAAGAAATACTAACATATTATATAATATCATATTTTATATTATATATTTTTTAAATTGATATTTTCATAAATTTTTTCTATAATTTAGTATTTTACTAACAATTCTTTCAGTTTTAAAATGCTCAGTTATATTGTTACACATTTATAATTAATTCTTTGGGCATTTATAAAGGCAGCTATTTGCCAGTATATTGCAATATTTTCTATTGCATTTTTTGTTGACAAATATGTGGCAATTTATAAACAAAGAATTTCCTTTTTGGAATGCCAAAACAACAACTTAAATCCCCTTCAACCGTAAAAATATTCTGACCTTGGGCTATGTCCTTTGCTGTTTGCGTTTGAGCACAAAAGAAAAATTTGCGCTTTATTAGAGTTGACATAACTGCTCGTTAATAATCGAATATTGCATTTTTTATGTGCCTGCAGGTGCATTGAACTGAATGGGTAAGTAGAGCACTGAAATGCCCTCTTCAAATAAATACCGAGCTCGCAGCTAATTAAATAGAAAACAGCAGTCGATGGCATGTAATTGAGTGTGTGTATAGAACTAGTTAACGGTTTAATGATACTAATAACAGTTGAGTGCATAGCCAGTGTATAAAACACTGTGCAATTCCTGATATGTTTATAAATATGTTCTAAGTCAAGCCTTGACTCAATGCTAAATAATCATCAAATATTGGCATTTAGTCAGGAGAAGCATATTTGCTGCTTGAAACAAAAAAAGAGCTTCCCACTTAAAAAAAAAATAGCTCTTAAATTCATTTACATATATTTTCAACCATGCACATATAATAAATGTTAGTTTAACTGGTAAAACGAATATGGCTCAAATTGAATAAACGCTTTTCTGTAGGGTAACTGTGCAGCCCTTTGATAAATATTTGCGTACGTTTATATTGCCAATTAAAAACTAAAGTAAATATCAAACCAATTTCAAAGCAATTCAAGCCATATACACATACAGAGTAAAACTACAAAAAATAATCCAAATAAAAAACGTTTTGTTTGCAACGCAAAACTCTTGTGAAAAGTGTAAACCAAATACGATTTAATTACGCAACATATTTGTTGGTTTCTAGTGTTATTTCTGTATTGAAAGGCAGGCGAGTGGACTGGCCGCATGCAAGTTCCAGCTCATATAGCACTAAGTACATGCGAGTATATAACAACATTTTAGAGCATGCGAAGCTGAACTTTGCTAATGGGGCATGCAGGCAGCTAACAAATACTCTGTACTCAATTTGGGTGTGGATTAAGGGTAACTCGATGCCCACTCAGGGCATGTAAATAATACTCTCTATATATGAGGCGCTGTCGCAAAAGTTAGCCGTATCCCAAAGTCTATGATTTATAATTTGTTTTATATGCTCACTACAAAGCAAACGAAATTTGCATTCATAAAGCACTGAGTGCGGAATATTTGTGCAGCACAAGCTCTTTGTGGCACGCTGCTGCTGCAGAGTGCATAATGGTAGCTGCACCTGCTGCATAAGTTGTTGCCCCCATTTAAAATATGTTTATTTCTCTGCTCTTAAACTTTCGAAAGCTGCAATTGACCAATAATCAACGAGCAGCATGCGGCAGAGCAAAGTTAAATGAGTTCTTTATGCATATGTTAAATACATATATATGCATATTCCCAATTGGAAATGAGTTGAAAATTGTTCAAATGAGTTTGTGCCCAAGCGATAAACAAAAGCAAATTATCTCTAGCTATTAAGCCAGAGTTAATCAAGTAATCCTCTGCTGTCTGAAAACTTCTCTTGCAATAAATTTTGTTTTTTTTTTTACATAAATATCTAGCGAATCAATAAAAATATTTGAAGAACTTTTTTGCAAAAGTTTTACACAATCTGAATTTTATATATATAAAAAAATAAAAAAAAAAACTATGAGGAAAATAGGATTTTCTTCAACTTAAGAAATGCAAAGTAAAATTGAAATTCCAAAGGAAAATAAAAAAATGTTTTGCTTATAGCTTTTTCTTTCCTCCAATTGAAATGTTTTTATAGATATGCTTTTATATAATAACAATATTATCTTTTCCTATTCAACAGCTGAAAATAAGCCGTGATTGAGAATAAAACTATGCCAAACTAAGAATAAAATATATGTTAATGACTATCTATATTGTATGCTCGAATAAAGAATAACCATATTAACAGTGAGTCAAATAAATTTCTAGCTATAAACATCAAATTTCGTATATCTCCGCAGTATACGTAATACAAGAATGCTAGACTATTTTTAATACATTTGCTCGCTGCGTGCCCAAATTGAAATGACAAATAGCCTTTTGTATTATTGTTGTTTATATACACATACACGAGCACACACACACGCATACATACACACATTTGGGCCTGAAAGTTTCATTACAATCGGACAACAAACACAAAAACAGACCGCAGCCATTCACGAATGAACCTGATATCAAGTGGAGCTGCTGCTCAGCCACTGCGTAAATTGTAGATTGCGGCTTTTATTTGTACACATTCGTATATAGGCATGTGTGTGTGTGTGTGCATGTGTACGTGTACGTGAGAGTACATGTAAACATGTAAAGCACACACTGGCTGGCTTCCATGGATCTTAAGTGCCGTTTGTGCAAAGGTGGGTTACGGTTCATCAGTTTATTTCGTTTGATATAAAACAGAAATTTTGCTCGCCTTTGTTTTACGGACTCTGTGTTTTGTGTGAAAAGAACATGGCAACTGGGTATTAAAGACAACGCAATACTCCACATGTACAAAGTGGACTAGATCACATTAGAAAATATAATACTGATGGGAATATTGTGCTATATTGCATATATTCTAAATCAGGCCGGAATTTTTCGAAAAGTAGCTTGCATAGTAACACGCATTAATATATTTCATATTTTCTCGCTAAATTCGCTCAAATTCATAATTTCCTCTAAATTTTTAAAATCTCTTCACTGTGTGAACAAGTAGAGCAATTCACAAATGAGCTGAGCGCCTAAAATTTAATTGTCCATGGAACGTCAAGCCCTCAAAGCAAGAGAGAAAGAGGGAGTGAGAGAGAGGAAGAGAGAGAGGAGAAGTGGAGAAGAGAGCTAGGCCACGTGTTGAAAGGCGCTTTTTGAAAAGCTAACAAGAGCATATTAATTAATTATTTATTGTTTTTTTTTTTTTTTTGTTACTTTCCCTTACATCATAAAGAAAATTAATATGGCGAGGGTCTCATGTGTTTATATGTATATAATTTAATCAATTATTAGAAAAGAGCTTTTCTGGCGTAGCAAATTGAACATGATACAAAATCTGCAATCATCATAATTGAACGCAGTCAAAAATGTTCGACTTTTAAAGCTTTGATAACTTGTTGAATATATATTATTATTATTTTGTATTACTCTTTGTGAACATTATAAATTGCTTACGAGCGATTTCGCAATCACTTAATGGGTGCCCGAATTGTTCTGTCGAACAATGACTAACATTTGCCATTCAATCAGGGGCTTCGAATTATTTGGCATTCGATTTAGTTACGCATGAGTGAGTTTTTCTCTTTTTGCGGGCTGTCCCTTAAGAGGGTAGCATAATTTGGAGCAAACTGACATTTGCTCATAATTACTTAAATGAGTAATTAAGTCTGAAAGCTATCGTAAAATCTTTAAGAAAAATCCACATCAGTTACTTTCTATGGCAGCTGATTAAGGCAGATGATTTTGGCTAAAAATCATTGAAGCTACTAATATATTTACACTTTCATATTATGTATACTCATATTATATATTTTCATATAATATTAACATTCCAATTTGGAATTCCCAACACGTTTGCTTCTATTTGCTCTATAGCAATTTATAGTGATTTGATTGATGAATTATTTGATTTATTGTACAGTAAATGTCAATATTTATATAAAAAGATGTTTCGCAAATAAATATCTATAGAATGCCAACTGCGGATATTAGCTAATCGGGCACTACGAACAGCAACATAAAATTTTGCC